ATACAGCTGAACACTGTTTACAAACTGCTGTGATAAAGTGGAACACTGTTTACAAGCCACCCCCATATAACTGAGCACTGTTTACAAGCCGTCGCATTATAGCTGAACACTTTTTACAATCCACCGTCACATAGTTGAACACTGTCTACAAGCCACATTCATATAGCTGAACACTGTTTACAAGCCAAGGTCACATAGTTGAACACTGTTTATAAGCCACCGGTATATAGCTGAACACTGTTTACAAACTGCTCTGATATAGTTGAACACTGTTTACAAACTGCTGTCATATAGTTGAACACTGTTTACAAGCCAAAGCCATATAACTGAACACTGTTTACAAGCCGTCGCCTTAAAGTTGAACATTGTTTACAATCAACCGTCATATAGTTGAACACTGTTTACAAGCCAAAGCCATATACCTGAACACTGTTTACAAGCCGTTGCCTTAAAGTTGAACATTGTTTACAATCAACCGTCATATAGTTGAACACTGTTTACAAGCCACATTCATACGGTTGAACACTGTTTACAAGCCGTTGCCTTATAGTTGAACATTGTTTACAATCAACCGTCATATAGTTGAACACTGTTTACAATCTAACGTCATATAGTTGAACATTGTTTACAATCAACGGTCATATAATTGAGCACTGTTTACAAGCCACCGTCATATAGTTGAACACTGTTTACAATCCAACGTCATATAGTTGAACACTGTTTACAAACGGATGTGATATAGTTGAATACTGTTTACAAGCCACATTCATACGGTTGAACACTGTTTACAAGCCACCGTCATACAGCTGAACACTGTTTACAAACTGCTGTGATAAAGTGGAACACTGTTTACAAGCCACCCCCATATAACTGAGCACTGTTTACAAGCCGTCGCATTATAGCTGAACACTTTTTACAATCCACCGTCACATAGTTGAACACTGTCTACAAGCCACATTCATATAGCTGAACACTGTTTACAAGCCAAGGTCACATAGTTGAACACTGTTTATAAGCCACCGGTATATAGCTGAACACTGTTTACAAACTGCTCTGATATAGTTGAACACTGTTTACAAACTGTTGTCATATAGTTGAACACTGTTTATAAGCCACATTCATACGGCTGAACTCTGTTTACAAGCCAAGGTCACATAGTTGAACACTGTTTATAAGCCACCGGTATATAGCTGAACACTGTTTACAAACTGCTCTGATATAGTTGAACACTGTTTACAAACTGCTGTCATATAGTTGAACACTGTTTACAAGCCAAAGCCATATAACTGAACACTGTTTACAAGCCGTCGCCTTAAAGTTGAACATTGTTTACAATCAACCGTCATATAGTTGAACACTGTTTACAAGCCAAAGCCATATACCTGAACACTGTTTACAAGCCGTTGCCTTAAAGTTGAACATTGTTTACAATCAACCGTCATATAGTTGAACACTGTTTACAAGCCACATTCATACGGTTGAACACTGTTTACAAGCCGTTGCCTTATAGTTGAACATTGTTTACAATCAACCGTCATATAGTTGAACACTGTTTACAATCTAACGTCATATAGTTGAACATTGTTTACAATCAACGGTCATATAATTGAGCACTGTTTACAAGCCACCGTCATATAGTTGAACACTGTTTACAATCCAACGTCATATAGTTGAACACTGTTTACAAACGGATGTGATATAGTTGAATACTGTTTACAAGCCACATTCATACGGTTGAACACTGTTTACAAGCCACCGTCATACAGCTGAACACTGTTTACAAACTGCTGTGATAAAGTGGAACACTGTTTACAAGCCACCCCATATAACTGAGCACTGTTTACAAGCCGTCGCATTATAGCTGAACACTTTTTACAATCCACCGTCACATAGTTGAACACTGTCTACAAGCCACATTCATATAGCTGAACACTGTTTACAAGCCAAGGTCACATAGTTGAACACTGTTTATAAGCCACCGGTATATAGCTGAACACTGTTTACAAACTGCTCTGATATAGTTGAACACTGTTTACAAACTGTTGTCATATAGTTGAACACTGTTTATAAGCCACATTCATACGGCTGAACTCTGTTTACAAGCCAAGGTCACATAGTTGAACACTGTTTATAAGCCACCGGTATAAAGCTGAACACTGTTTACAAACTGCTCTGATATAGTTGAACACTGTTTACAAACTGCTGTCATATAGTTGAACACTGTTCATAAGCCAAAGCCATATAACTGAACACTGTTTACAAGCCGTCGCCTTAAAGTTGAACATTGTTTACAATCAACCGTCATATAGTTGAACACTGTTTACAAGCCAAAGCCATATACCTGAACACTGTTTACAAGCCGTTGCCTTAAAGTTGAACATTGTTTACAATCCACCGTCACATAGTTGAACACTGTTTACAAGCCACATTCATACGACTGAACTCTGTTTACAAGCCAAGGTCACATAGTTGAACACTGTTTATAAGCCACCGGTATATAGCTGAACACTGTTTACAAACTGCTCTGATATAGTTGAACACTGTTTACAAACTGCTGTCATATAGTTGAACACTGTTTACAAGCCAAAGCCATATAACTGAACAATGTTTACAAGCCGTCGCCTTAAAGTTGAACATTGTTTACAATCAACCGTCATATAGTTGAACACTGTTTACAAGCCAAAGCCATATACCTGAACACTGTTTACAAGCCGTTGCCTTAAAGTTGAACATTGTTTACAATCAACCGTCATATAGTTGAACACTGTTTACAAGCCACATTCATACGGTTGAACACTGTTTACAAGCCGTTGCCTTATAGTTGAACATTGTTTACAATCAACCGTCATATAGTTGAACACTGTTTACAATCTAACGTCATATAGTTGAACATTGTTTACAATCAACGGTCATATAATTGAGCACTGTTTACAAGCCACCGTCATATAGTTGAACACTGTTTACAATCCAACGTCATATAGTTGAACACTGTTTACAAACGGATGTGATATAGTTGAATACTGTTTACAAGCCACATTCATACGGTTGAACACTGTTTACAAGCCACCGTCATACAGCTGAACACTGTTTACAAACTGCTGTGATAAAGTGGAACACTGTTTACAAGCCACCCCCATATAACTGAGCACTGTTTACAAGCCGTCGCATTATAGCTGAACACTTTTAACAATCCACCGTCACATAGTTGAACACTGTCTACAAGCCACATTCATATAGCTGAACACTGTTTACAAGCCAAGGTCACATAGTTGAACACTGTTTATAAGCCACCGGTATATAGCTGAACACTGTTTACAAACTGCTCTGATATAGTTGAACACTGTTTACAAACTGTTGTCATATAGTTGAACACTGTTTACAAGCCAAAGCCATATAACTGAACACTGTTTACAAGCCGTCGCCTTAAAGTTGAACATTGTTTACAATCAACCGTCATATAGTTGAACACTGTTTACAAGCCACATTCATACGGTTGAACACTGTTTACAAGCCGTTGCCTTATAGTTGAACATTGTTTACAATCAACCGTCATATAGTTGAACACTGTTTACAATCTAACGTCATATAGTTGAACATTGTTTACAATCAACCGTCATATAATTGAGCACTGTTTACAAGCCACCGTCATATAGTTGAACACTGTTTACAAACGGATGTGATATAGTTGAATACTGTTTACAAGCCACATTCATACGGTTGAACACTGTTTACAAGCCACCGTCATACAGCTGAACACTGTTTACAAACTGCTCTGATATAGTTGAACACTGTTTACAAACTGCTGTGATAAAGTGGAACACTGTTTACAAGCCATCCCCATATAACTGAGCACTGTTTACAAGCCGTCGCATTATAGCTGAACACTTTTTACAATCCACCGTCACATAGTTGAACACTGTCTACAAGCCACATTCATATAGCTGAACACTGTTTACAAAATGATGTCATATAGTTGAACACTGTTTACAAACTGCTGTGATATAGTTGAACACTGTTTGCAAAATGATGTCATATAGTTGAAAACAAATAAGGCAAGTGTTGACGAGATGTCCAGTGTATGAGGTGACACACTTGTGAGTATTTAGATGACTGAATGATGACCAACCAGGTATAAAGCGTACTGAAAACCCTTACATACCGGACTGACGTTCTAACCGGTTGAGTGGTTATAGGGTACCAGACATATTCCAGCACTGTCATGGTGGGATACCGGAAATGGGCTTCACGCACAGCACTGATGTGTGACGAACGAACGTTGTAACCAATGGCTACACCTCACTCCACGAGTGAGTAGACTGCCACTACAACACATCATCGAACCCAGAAATACAATGTAAATATGTTAAACCAAACAATTAAAAGCCGTTATAGAAACCTGCAATGATGGCAGGTATATAGGACCTACCCATCCGTCTCATCCCAACCACGGGTTTCATGAGTGTGAGAACCTAAGTGCACAATAAATATGATTTAAATATGAACTAGATGTGATAGATTATGTTTACTATATAGCTGGGATGGGTTCTGCTGCGTTGTGAAGGTTCGTTGCCAACAACTGAAGTCATAACGCTAATGGAAGGGCACATTGCCAACACTGTGCAGGACTCCTGTGAAATTGATTCTGTCAAAGCCTAACTGAAACCCCTTTAATGAAAACGTGCATTTCAACGGTAAAATTGATTTGAAAGAGTATCAGGACTTAAACCAAATCGATCAGAGATAATGAACATTCGTGATCGAGACGGGCACAGTCATCAGCCAAAAGCTTTCACTTGGCCGGCGAGAGAAACCGACCACAGCGCCTATGCTGTAAACAGAATCAGACCAATCAAATTAATATTTTATAGTCCCAACTGTCGATACATAGCATTGCATGCAGGTGCTACTCTTCAAGCTGGCCTCTCTTGTTTCTTTAACCCTTTTTATCCCAACTTGTAGCAGGACTCAATCAGTTGGTTAGCAGTGAATGTTACTTAGAGAGCTATCACAGAACGTATACTGGCTTTCCATTCGTTAACATAGTGGAGCAAAGGAGTTTTGATAGCATGGCAACTGTTGTTATATAACGCTATACTGAAAGTGATTTAAAGGGTTAATAATTTGGTTAGCTTCATTTCTGCAGTTCAGTTTCCCGGTATTGGGAGAAGTGTTATCGTGTATACTCGACAACACTGACGAATCGTCTTACACTTCCTGTGGCCAATTAAACTGAGGACCTGAAGCACGTTACAGAGACGCTGTGTACAAGTCCTACAAGTAGCGGGGACGACTCCGACCTATGTCACACCATGGAACATGCGCAACGTCCACGACTGTGACGGATTCTGGGGTAGCGGTTTACTAGAGTTCCATGTTTTCAAGCACTCAGGGTGATTACTGAGTGGCTTGACTATCGACCTTCAGCCTCGCTCATAGACTCCTGAACATTTGTGCATAATTATTCTATTGAAGCTGTTTCTCTGTGCCATCAAGTCCTTGAGAAGTCGTCGCCGAACATTTGATACTCCAGGCGAAATGGGGCATTTATCAGCGTGTGTCTGGGTGGTGGCCGCTTCTCTTTGTGTTGTGGAATTTTCTCAGTCTAAGCCGATTAAAAACGACAAATGTGAGTATGACTTGGACCTCGTCGAGAACAACATCCGGGTGGTGTGTCAGGGAAGGGGGGGCCAAGGTCAACATCTACGCTACAAACGCTGAGTTGAAGGACGCGGGAGCGTTACCCTCGAAAAAGGACAGGCGACCGATGAGGCCTCAGCGAGACTCGGAACACACCAGGGCTAACTTGTACTATTTCCGTGACGCCAGTCCGATGTCCTATACCATACGGAACTCCACGAAGAAGATGGAAAGGATCAAACGGAAGTTGTCCCGAGTGGCTTCCTCCATGACCAACATATCCCATCATCTGGCTTCCGGTGACGAGAAGTTGCAGTCCGACCTGGACGCGATGAGGCGCATGCAGTATCAGTCGGTGACGTTGAAAGACACCATGTTGGCCGCCATTCAGAACCAGTACTCGTTCATGAGAACCGCCATTCTGTCACACAGCGCCGAGATGTCCAAAATGATGGACTCGCTTCAACTCATGATTGACGTGACCTCCAAAAGTCTCCAGAGCGCCGCGAGGTCAGAGGTCGATCTGTACTCCGAGCTGGGGTTCGTTAATCAGACAATGTTGACGATGAGGCGGATGTTGTCCCGAGAACTCAAGAAGAAGAGAAGGCGGCCAAATATCAACAAAGAAGAAATAGGTGAGTACCTGTTTTAACGTCCTCTTCGTCAGGTGAGGCGACGTTTTGACGTGGTTTGCTTCTCTGTGTCCACGGTATAGTGTATGTATCACTCTGTGTCTGGTGTCTGTGTCAATCTGTGTCTGTGTCTGTGTCTGTGTGTAGTGTCTGTGTCTGGTGTCTGTGTGTTTCTTTTGTCTGTGTCTTGTGTCTGTGTCAGTCTGTCTGGCGTCTGTGTCAGTCTGTGTCTGGTGTCTGTGTTAGTCTGGTGTCTGTGTCTAGTGTCTGTGTCAGTCTGTGTCCGGTGTCTGGCGTCAGTCCGTGTCCACGGTTTGGTTTCAGTGTCTAGTGTCAGTGCCCGTCTGTGTCTGTTGTCTGTGTCTGTTGTCTGTGTTTGTTGTCAGTGTCAGTCTGTGTCAGTCAGTGTCTGGTGTCTGTGTCTGTTGTCTGAGTCAGTCATTGTCTGGTGTCTGTATCTCTTGTCCGTGATTGTCTGTGTCTGTCTGTGTCTGGTGTCTGTGTATCTCTTGTCCGTGACTGGTGTCTGTGTCTGGTGTATGTGAATTCTGTAATATACAAGATGCTGGCATAAGTGTAGACACATTACGACACGCAATTCATGCTTTGTGTCCATGGGGATTATTCGATGGTCAGTTATGGCACGATTCCGGCAGAGGCCCTCACTGGTGAAGATGTGGTCACTCACTCACTGTGACAGTGTATGGAACGTGACAGTGTATGAGACGTAACAATGTATAAGACGTGACGTGACAGTGTTTGAGACGTGACAGTGTTAGACGTGACAATGTATGAGACGTGACAGTGTATGAGACGTGACAATGCATAAGACGTGACAATGTATGAGACGTGACAATTTATGAGTCGTGACAATGTATATGACGTGACGTGACAGTGTATGAGACGTGACGGTGTATGAGACGTGACAATGCAAAACACGTGATAGTGTATGAGACGTGATAATGTATTTGACGTGACAATGTATGAGACGTGACGTGACAATGTATGTGACGTGACGGTGTATGAGACGTGACAATGCAAAACACGTGATAGTGTATGAGACGTGATAATGTATTTGACGTGACAATGTATGAGACGTGATAATGTATGTGACGTGACAATGTATGAGATGTGACAATGTATGAGACGTGACAGTGTGACACGTGACAGTGTATGTGAAGTGACAATGCATAAGACGTGACAAAGTATGCGACATGACAGTGTGAGACGTGACAACGTAAGTGACGTGACAATGTATGAGACGTGATAATGTATGTGACGTGACAATGTATGTGAAGTGACAATGTATGAGACGTGATAATGTATTTGACGTGACAATGTATGAGACGTGATAATGTATGTGACGTGACAATGTATGAGTCGTGACAATGTATGAGACGTGACAGTGTGACACGTGACAGTGTATGTGAAGTGACAATGCATAAGACGTGACAATGTATGCGACATGACAGTGTGAGACGTGACAACGTAAGTGACGTGACAATGTATGAGACGTGATAATGTATGTGACGTGACAATGTATGTGAAGTGACAATGTATGAGACGTGACAATGTATGTGACGTGACAATGTATGTGACGTGATAATGTATGAGACGTGACAATGTATGAGACTTGACATAGTGTTGTTGGCAGGTGTTATCAGCGAAACAATTTTTCAAAATTGAAAGTCTGTTCACAATCTAATTACTTTCGAGCGAGCTGTTGCCGAGATTTGTTTAAGATACACGTAAGCAAGTTATAAAATGAAAATGTCTGACCCCACCATGGTCCCTAAATATTGTTCAAATGCTACTCTCATGGGGGTTATATTTGGATGAGAAGAACTATGTACTACAGTAAATCATATCATCACCCCATAGCACCGACATGGAGCAGCCTGTCTAAATGGCCGTCGTGTGAGAGTGGCGGAGTGACCTGGCGTTACAGGGCAGACACAGTGTAAACAGTCCACACAGTATCGCTACGCTACTGATCCCCCAAGCATTACGTTAATTGGTAGCGGAGTAACACATGGACCTGAGTGAGTCACACGAAGCCTACTTGACAACATCTACATTGACTTTCCTGTATAGCATGGGAACTAGGAGCTGAGGGGAACTTCGCGCTGAACGTTATTGAACTATCGACGTGCATGCGCGTGTGTGTCTGTGTTTGATTGTGTGCATGTCTGTGTTAGTGTGTCTGCGTGTGACTATGTGTGTGTCTGTGTCTGTCTGTGTGTTAACCTGCACCAGCCCTGCTGATGCCTGTTCTATGGCGCCCAGGGATACCATGACGCAGTTGATGGCGCCTAGTTGACCAGCGTTTGTCTCAACCCTTCATACCGAGCGCGTTTCCCTAAGAGTGAGTGAGAGTGGGGCGCTCTGGTCAGTATTTCAATTACATCACGTCGAGCCAGCCTAATGTGGGAGTGACGTCCAAGGTAATGCAGGCTCACGATTCCGTGTTTGGTACTGACAAACCTAGATTCAAAATCGCATTGAACCGGGAGTCGAACCCACGAACCTATTGACACGTTTCCTGACGTGAAGGGGCTCATCGCTGTAACCACACGTTACTTCAATGATATATATTATGTCCCACCAAGACATGTCTTGGAAACCTGCCTGCGTATATATAGGATTGGTTTATCCCTGATTTGTGTGAACACGTGGCAAGTATCATAAACACGCAAAAATAAAAGCTTGACTGTCTAATTTAGCCAACTTCATAATTACAACAAAGGTCTATATTTACCCTAGCAATTAACCTTCGTTATATAGCTGCAGGTAATCTGCCTTATTGCCCAGAGCGTTTTCTATGGTTTTGTTTAACGTCAGTGTCAGTAATATAACAATTAATGATCTCGATTCATAAATATTAGATTCTCGACCAGATAGTCCTGTCATCTTCCAATAAACGGAAGAACACTGTCTCCAGAGGGCACAAAATGAGACTCTACAACACGTGTATTTGAGAAAACAATAACTGACTTTGTTTTTTTAACGTTCCAGGAACTTGCCCTCAACAAATCGTGGCCATTGGCGCCGGGGACGTCATTAACGTCAAGGGGAAACGTGGCGCTTTCATGAAGGACGTAATGGACGACACGGGGACGATCTACATCATGTCTGGAAGTGGGAGCTCCGACAGACTCGTGGAGTACGAGTCAGAGATTGACCTTCAGTACGCGTTCACCTCCATAACCTTTGACCTGCCATTCAAATGTCAAGGCACTGGTCACGTGATCTACCGGGGCTGCCTCTTCTGCCAGAAGGAAGGCACGAGCAAGATAATCAAGTACAAGTTGGACCGGATGGAGAATATGGGGGAAATCGACGTCACCAAGACAGGCATGGAGAACCAATATGCGTATGAGTTCGGGGACATCAACGACATCGACCTCGCTGTCGACGAGTACGGGCTGTGGGCCATCTATAACACGCCGGAAACAGCGGGGAAGATTATGATCAGCCGCATCAACGACGCCAGCATGGAGATTGAACACACATGGCTGACAAGCTACCCCCGTAGCCTGGCTAGCAACACCTTCATGATCTGTGGCGTCCTTTATACCGTGGAATCCTTCAACGAAACGCCCAACTACATCAAATATATCTTCGACACCGCCACGGCCAAGGACACTGTTCTGAAGGGAGGGAGTCTTGTGTTCCCCGCCCTGGACGACTCTGACGTCCACGTGTCCATGTTGGACTACAACTTCAAGGACGGCATCCTGTACGCGTGGGGGGGAGGCAAGGTGTACTCCTTTCACGTGTTTCTGGAAGATGGTTCCAGGATCCCGTAGTTCATGGGCGTCGCCATTCCAATCTGGTTTTTGACGCCTCGATGGCGGATTGAGGGCAACGTTTTCACTTCCTGAATTGCAGCGTCGTCATCGGCACTGTTAGGGAGATCTGATCCGTTCAGAATACGTGTCACGGTCACGTGTTGTCACTTGTCGTGGTGCACTGGATTTTGTGTCGGCGCCAGAAGGACTTCATCTGACGTGGATTGGTAGAGTGACCTAATGACCTCGTGACGTAATGTCATTGTTCTCACAAGCAGCTTACTTTCTGCATCTGTACCTGGCAGGTATTGACAGATGCTGTGTGTGGATGCCGCGAGGGTTTAGTTGAAAAACGTGTGATTCACAATTAGAAAACACGTAGAATATGAAGGAGAGGTTATTCGTTCTCAACGCATAGTTTTATAGTTTTGCTTCATAATTTGTTCAAGGCCAAACACAATCGTATCTTGTCGCGTCGTCTCAGCTTCACGAAGATTTACCGCAGGCCTTTGTACATTATTGACATCACAGTGCATGCCCCCAGTCTAGAGCGCTTTTTAGGGTATTAGTGGTATTAGAACACCGGTACCTAATGGGAAATTAGTTTATTCTAGACATTGGACGTAAACAATATTCCAGATATTGGAAGAAAATATATCTACGACACACCTAGAGAGATAATCAAGGTACCTGTAAAATGGAATTAAAGGTGTAATCACGTTTGTATCCAAGGTGTTGGCATGGTAAAGGTCACTCACGGCATTTGGGATTTCCAGGTATGAAATGTTTGTGGATATGACGGTCTCTCAAAAAATGTTTCATGTACGGCATTTTTTTATACATAATATATGAAGGTATTGTGTTTACGGATTTACGGCACTGTCCGCATGGATCCACACACTGTCTTGTTTCAAACCGTCAACATTTATTTGTATTCGCGAAACTGTTGTCTGTCCTCAGACCAACTGAACATCGTGTGATGTTAAAATTCTTGAAAAAAAATGCTAGTCATTCGTTTCGAAAGCATCAAAATTGGCATCACGAGATGGGTAAAACGGGAGGCAGTAACTTTTGACTTTGAGTATAAGTCTACAATCGGAAAAATCAAAGCTACAAAGTAAATCAAACGGATTCGTAAAATCGTTGGAACTAGTCGATTTTGTATTTTCTCATTTTTTGCAGATAGCTAAGTCTATACCAGTAAATCGTATCTGGTTAGCTTTGTCAGGGGAGACGATCCTAATGTTTTTTTCAGGAGAGAAAAATCTCCACGTTTCAGGGGAGATAACCCTGATGGTTTTTTATCATGGGAGACAATCCTGATCTACCTCCACTTTCGCTTCTGCAACTTTACAGATTTTTTCGCAAATATGTCTGTTATGTACAGTCGTATAGAAAATACAGTTTGCTGAAATAAAGAAACTCTTTCTAAACATAGAATTATTGTTGTGAAGACCGAGACTTCGATTCTGTGGGTGCATCGGTCAACTTTGTTTCTAAAACCATTTAAATCAACCATTACATGTCATGCCAGTACATACAATTATGACCCGTGAAGGTCCGGGTTAGAATGAGCCATCAGTAACCAATGCTAGTCGTAAGAGGCGACTAACGGGGTCGGGTGGTCAGGCTCGCTGGTTGACACATGTCATCGGTTCCCAATTGCGCAGATCGATGCTCATACTGTTGCGATCACTGGATTATTTGGTCCAGACTCGATTATTTAGAGACCGCCGCCATATAGGTGAAATATTACTAAGTGCGACGTAAAACTAAACTCACTCACTCACATAAAATTATGTGAACAAATTATCTCTCACCTCGGTTGCCTCCCTTAGTAGATCGCTAGTCCAGGTTTGGAATCTTGATTTTTTTCAGCATCATCTATTAGCAATAATATTCCACGATGTTACATTCCCTGTACAGTGTTAGGTGGATGGACAAACCAGGGTGTTGGGGGTGAAAATGATAGGTCATAATTAATAATCCAGTTGTCATAAGTGTTAAAGACTAAGCACATAGAGATTAGACTTTTTCACTTACATTTTTTCCGGTATGTTTCAGTATATTATATTGTAATTTTAGATCTTTTATGAAAGTGTCAATATTACAATCACTTCCAGTGACTTTGCAGGGATACACTATAAATTTAGCAAACATCAATACATAATTAAATAATTTACAGTCTGCAGAGTCTCCATCAAGGCCATATAAGACAACATCTCTGTAATATGTATATACCCTACCCTGAATATTTGCTTCTGTCCGTTTAATATAGGAAATCCAGAATGGTAATACACGAGAGCAATAAAACATATAATGTCTGATAGTGTCAACATTGCCACAGTGTTCACACAGTTTACTATCTTTAACGTTTAACCAGTTCAGATATATGATTATACCTGATCTAAGAGGACCTGCCCCGTGTTCGGGGTTCCACTGACGGGATAAGCAAGTTGCCCTCCTGCATCTGTTTTCGGGTTTGTATACCCAGTTGGCCCTTGTTGGGAAACGAACCCGGGCCATCGGCGTGACGAGTGAACGCTTTAACCTCGAGGCTATCCCACCGCCCCCAAGTACCTGTGAATTACACTATAACAAGTATGTTGGAAAAGGGAATAGAATCTGACATGGTTGGCATGGATGTGAAAGGCGAGGGTAGTGTTGTGACAATATACAGGCATGTACGTATCGCGTGTTTTGTGTACGAATAACTGGTAGCATGGAACATACGTTATATTTGGGAGTACACCTTCTCAGTAAATAACAGATTCTAGTACTGTTCTTGGGCTGCGTCCCATCCGGGATTCGAACCCACACCCTCAGAGTCAGACACCTAATCGTCAGCCCACAAAGTCAGCCGCCTAACCAACTCAGACAACGCGGGTTTGGGTTCGAATCCCGGATGGGACTCAACCCAACACAAGTACTAGAATCTGTACTTTACTGAGAAAGTATAATCCCGAATATAATATATGTTACATTCGTTTATTCATGACTAGTAACTTGTCTAACAGTACATATACCGAAGGAACACCCTTTCACTCTAGTACAAAACATTGTGCATTCTAATTGTATTCAGAAACTTGAACCTTGATAACACGAACACTTCAATAATCCACACCACCCCATCTCTAGCTTGGTCTTAGTAATTGTAATCCGTCTCCCTGTGAAACACTGTGAGATATGTTGAGTTTTACTGTAAGTTTTAGGTGAGAAAATGGGTGATCGACACCACACTGCACGAAGCGTAATAAAATCTTCCCCCTTTGTGATCAGATATTGGGCGGTGGTGCGCATGGGTGTGATGTCATTGAGATGGTGACAGAGTGAGTGAGTGAGTGAGTTGGGTTTTACGCCGCTTTTAGCAATGTTACAGCAATATCACGGCGGGGGACACCAGAAGTGGGATTCACACATTATACCCATTTGAGGGATCGAACCTGTGGCCTCGGCGTGAAGAGAGAACACTTTAACCACTAGGCTACCCCGGATGTTGAAAGAGATTCGTTGTACTGCGTAATGTATCATCAAATTGTTGGTCACATTTATCTTCAGATATTCGTTATCTAAACGCGAAATTGTCTTGAATTCAGGTTTCCAGACATGGACTGTGAACTGATTAAGCAATTAGAGATAAACAGTGATGAAGCGTTGACCTAGTACTAGGACCTAATAATTCGAAGGGGTAATCAATTCATGTTTCTATAGACATTTTATGTTACAGTAAATGGATAAATTGCAACATCAAGTGTTCATAAGAAGCAAGGGATAGTATAACAATATATAATAATATTAATAATAATAATAACAATATATAATAATAATAATAATAATGAGAAGTCTTATAATGCGCTAATCTCCACGCAACAAAGCATGCTCTAAGCGCTAACACCCTTATTATTATTACCCCGGATAACCCAAGCTGCCTGTTATATGTTTCTATAGATAATTGTTTACGTACTTAGATCCTTAAAGGGAAACAACTCCAACTTTAAAAGCATCGATATGTGGTTCGGTTGTTTCTTCGCGGAATATAATTTTGCTAATTATGGACTATACTTTTGACCGGTTTTACTTGTGTTCAGCGCTATTGTCGCCACGCTGCACAAAGGTATCCTTTTGGAGGACCAGACAATGGGAAGCTGTCTTTCATATTATTTGAGGATATACAGCATAGAGGAACCAGCAAACTGACAAGTGTTTTCCTTACTGATTAATGCATACAAGATTTAAAGTGTGAAGCTATCAGTGAACGTCAGTATTACTCACAATAAATATACAGTATCCCTGCAGGTAGATTTCAGGTAAACGAACAGGTGATATAAACATATCTGATATTCATCATTACTAGATATGCTAATTTACCATTGTTATTGTATTTTCGGTTCACCTAGGCATAGTTATGCACAAACCTACAGGTGATTCGTCTAAAAAAACTCAATAATATTACTTTAAAGAATTTAGCATCATGATCAAATGAAACTTATTTTATCAGAAATTATATCTTCCAATATCGAGTCATTTTACTTGCAGCTTTTACTACATGTTTTTTAAAAAATAAAAACACTTTGGAATAATTACTTGCTGTTACCGGATTGAATTTTTACAGTATGGGGAAGTTTGATCAGTAAACATTGGGGCCTCGCGGGTTCCTGCTGCAGCCACCGAATGAAGACAAAATGCAGCATTTCTCAGCACAGTCCAGATTCTAGCATTTTTGTTGGGCTGAGTCCCTTACGGGATTCGAACCCACAACCTCAGAGTCAGACACCTAATCGCTAAAGTCAGCCATCTTGCCCAATCAGCCTCAACAAAATCAACAAAAGTACTAGAATCTATACTTTACTGAGAAAGAGTAATCCCATATAACGTGTTGGATTTGATCACTTGCTAAAAGGCGTTGTGTATTCAACATGCATATAGCATAACAACCAAAGCAAGTTATATGATTGATATCAGGCAGTTACCTTGTTACAGGAATATCCATAAATAGGATTCAGTTCTTGTGTAACGCCACCCTCAGCAATATTCCATGCATATGGTTTCGGTCTGTAAATAATCGAGTCTGGACGTGAGCATCGATCTACCCATCGACAAGTAGGTAACGCGCAGTTAATAGTAAGACAGTTATATGACAGGGTAATATCACACGGAAGTTCCTGTCAGGAATTGTCTTGTAAGGAATGTCCAAGAAAACTCTCCATTCCCTTAACATAATGGAGCTTAGCAGAGGATATGGCCCGTCGCAAGAAACGCATTCCTACTTGTACACCTTGACACACACACACACACTACTGTCTCTACTCTCTCTCTCTCTCTCTCTCTCTCTCTCTCTCTCTCTCTCTCTCTCTCTCTCTCTCTCTCTCTCTCTCTCTCTCTCTCTCACCGCACTGACCCCGTACACGTGCATGGAAGTGCATGGGGTGTCATTCTTGATTTTGACGGTCTTTTAGAAAGTCGATAAATCACTGTAGACCATCAATTTTGACAATTAACTTGTTTCACACAGTTGTTAGTGTTTGTTTCCAGACAAAATATTAGAATGTCGCCACAGATATGTTTTAATAGTATTTCATAAAGTTGTATATCCACAGAGTAGTTCAGAAAGGTATCAACTAGCCTAAACAGCACGCATATCCCCATAGTTGGAAATATTTTGCACAGAAACAAAACAAAACAACAATATTGCAAGATGAGCACAAATCCGAAAGATATAGATTCGAACCTGAAATGTACAGTGCAGATGCGAGATGCGAGGAACAGCTAGAGCACCAAGAGTGACGTCCCTTGTATTCACGACGTGACAGACCGGTGCATTGATTTTGTGATCATCAACAATCGACCTGGAGAGCAAGTGGAACACAGCAGGTAACACAGATGGTGTTAGATCGTCAAATAGGATTTCCATGTTATACAGAGCTTTATATTCCTCTATGATGAGTGACAGCGCCGGCGTGACTGCCCGGCGCCCCGACCCGCCCTACTTACTCTCATGCTCTCACTCTCAGACAGTGACACTGACAGATAGATCCCCTAATCTTATGTTTTCATCTCATCTGATGTTTGGCCCGTCATCATGAACAGGTGAAGGGCGTGGCAGGTGTGATCTGAATGTTGGTTTATGTCAACCCCTCACGGTATTCATTAATTTAAAAAACGAAATCAGACAGGGATTTTATTTTTATTTGTGTTATCTTAATTATGTTTTAGAAATGTCATATTTGAATTGTAATTTTTTTCCAAGTGAGCTTTTATGTTCTGATGAGCTATACTTGTTGAAATATTCAGCAATGGTTTATAAGGCACCGTTCATAGTTTATGGCTAGTGGGGGTGATGATGATTTTCATGGGGAAGCATGTACGAATGTGAATGACCCTCCCCCCCAAAAAAAATCTATATGTACAAAGTAAGCGACCCCCCTGTATGTCATGTACAATTATCCCCCCTCCCTTCCCATAATTTTTAAGCATAATATTGTAATATTTTTGTGTACACAATTGCTGATACTATTGCAATAGTGTTTTTCTCCTTGAATTGTCTCATCTGAAGTCATTTCCCAAATGAATGTATAGTTTTGATGAGAAAAACATAAGTTGAAGTAGTTTGAGTTTCTTTTAATAATTGACAAGAAACATGAAACCCAGATGAAGTAAACAGTTAAACAGAAACTTATTGTTATTCACAAAATCCAACTCTGTGTCGCATGTCTCATGTTTACAATAATCCTAGTAACTGTTTTACATAACACAGTGTGCCCCATCAGGACCCCCTTAGTCTATGTCATTAATTTGACTATTTAGTATAGATAAAAGTGTATGAAGGCTGTCGTACATTGATTTCCGACAGAATCAATTCTGCTTACATTCCTGACTCTGACTGCAGGCAGGTGGCTGAAGTCCGGCTTGGCAAGTCATTATCAGCTTATCAACACAATCAGTGAAAGGCTTGTCCCTGTTTACCTGGTCCATATGTTTAAGCTGGTCTTACGACACTGTGGGGGTCCAGTGTCAGGGGGACACCTGTATCTGCAGGGGGTGAGACGCTGCTGTGTGACGTCATGAGCTTTAGACAGGGAATCCTTGGTTTGGGCAGAGGGAATCCTTGGTTTGGGCAGAGGGAATCCTTGGTTTGGGCAGAGGGAATCCTTGGTTTGGCAGATCCTTGGTTTGACAGAGGGAATCCTAGGTTTGGTAGAGGGAATCCTTGGTTTGGGCAGAGGGAATCCTTGGTTTGGGCAGAGGGAATCCTTGGTTTGGGCAGAGGGAATCCTTGGTTTGGCAGAAGGAATCCTTGGTTTGGGCACAGAGCATCTGAACATTTGTCGTGTGTATTATCAGAACACATATATCAGATAAAGCTTAAATGTACATAGTGGTATTCATAAATACTGACACGCGTTGAAAACGTACACTGGAAATTGGAATCAATGAATTTTATTTAGGAAAGTGATCCGTCATAAACTGACCGTAGGTCATCACCATGGATTAGCCAATAACAGGTTTGGAAATCGACCCCACTTTTTTTTTGTTTCCTTATGTGGGTTTTTCATCAACAGATTCTTAAGAAAATATTGTTCTATCAACTAACAGAAAGCCAAGTAATTGGTGTTTGGTAGTTATGTTACAGTTGTCTGAGTTTGAAACCTCATCCCGGTTGTCCTCCCTGGTGAGGTGAGGTGAAATTGGGTTTAACGTTGTGCTGGAGAATATTTCGCTCATATGACGACGTGCATGCTTGTGTATGTGTATGTGCGGATGCTTGTACTAGCCCAGACTTAAGCTGGTTTTATAGTGCTAGCCCGCTGAGATACCATGCTGCAGTGAAGCATGAATACCCACTCAGACCGATTATACTGACTCCGAGCCGACCAGTCCTTGTTGTACCCATTTATGACGAGCGCCAGGCAGGGACCAACAAGTACCATATGTTAACGTCTTTTGGTATGACGCGGTCGGGGATCGAACCTGCGACCTTCCGCTCTCCGTCCTACCTGGACAGTTGTCTGAGTTTGAGTCCTGCCAGAACAGTTGTCTGAGTTTGAATCCTCATCCCAGTAGTCCTCCCTGGACATAAGCTTCCGGTCACCTTTCCCTTGTGACTGTCAACAGTCAACAGCTGTGTGTTTTCTGTTCCAGTGATATTTCACGAATGCTTGTACTACGTGGAACGTGTGGCGGAGACCTTTGCCTCCTTTCTCAAGTCATGTTCTCTACGGGGTGAATATTTGACATCCATGGAGACACAACATAAGTTTAATGAACATACGTTTTATACCAAGACGCCGCTGACAAGGATGAACAGACATATCACTCCTGTAGTCACATGACATCAGATGATCAGATGATAAGTTGTTGATATGATTACCATAGTTACGTAACATCCAATATGATGTTGGTATCATGGTTATCTAACATCAGACGATAGCAACATCAGATGTTGGTACAGTTACCACGGTTTTGTAACATCAGATGTTGGTACGGTTACCACGGTTTTGTAACATCAGATGTTGGTATGATTACCACGGTTTTGTAACATCAGATGTTGGTACGGTTACCACGGTTTTGTAACATCAGATGTTGGTACGGTTACCACGGTTTTGTAACATCAGATGTTGGTATGATTACCACGGTTTTGTAACATCAGATAAGATGTTGGTAAGGTTACCATGGTTACTTAGCATCAGATATTGGCCATGTTTACCATGATATATGTAACATGAGATAATTACATGTTGGAACGGTTACCATGTCTTCCTTCAGTGTATGATTTTATGGGGAACTTTTATCGGGATAATCACTTTTTCGAAGCATTGATAATTATTAGAAACAAACGCTTTCATTGAAGTAACAACAAAAAATGAGAAAAATAATTATTCTGATTTTAAAATACTGGTACATTTACTTCTGAGATCCATGGTAACAGATGTTTGCATTACGTGTTACACTCTGTTACAGTGTAGCGCCATCTGGTGCCAGCAATCACTGAGCAGGTACTAGGCTCATTAAACGTGTTCCTTTGTTGAGCTATCGGAAATAAATATGTCAGAAATATGAACAATTTTGTCCAATAACAATGCAATACTGATGCAAACATGTTGTTTCCAGCACTGTGTCTCGGGTAAAACTCAATGTTTCTACATTTTCTGTATTTTAAGTAATGATTTTGAAAGTGTTTGGGTGGGGTTAGGAGTGAGTTAGTGAGTGAAAGTGGTTGATCATCATGAGTGTGGGATGATGGTTGAGTGAGTGAGTGAGAGTGGTTGATCATGAGTGTGGGATGATGGTTGAGTGAGTGAGTGAGAGTGGTTGGTCATGAATGTGGGATGATGGTTGAATGAGTGAGTGAGTGTGGTTGATCATGAGTGTGGGATGATGGTTGAGTGAGTGAGTGAAAGTGGTTGATCATGAGCGTGGGATGATGGTTGAGTGAGTGAGTGAAAGTGGTTGATAATGAGTGTGGGATGATGGTTGAGTGAGTGAGTGAAAGTGGTTGATCATGAATGTTGGGTGACGGTCGAGTGAGTGAGTGAAAGTGGTTGATCATGAGTGTGGGATGATGGTTGAGTGAGTGAGTGAAAGTGGTTGATAATGAGTGTGGGATGATGGTTGAGTGAGTGAGCGAGAGTGGTTGATCATGAATGTGGGATGATAGTTGAGTGAGTGAGTGAAAGTGGTTGATCATGAGTGTGGGATGATGGTTGAGTGAGTGAGTGAAAGTGGTTGATAATGAGTGTGGGATGATGTTTGAGTGAGTGAGTGAAAGTGGTTGATCATGAGTGTGGGATGATGGTTGAGTGAGTGAGTGAAAGTGGTTGATCATGAGTGTGGGATGATGGTTGAGTGAGTGAGTGAAAGTGGTTGATCATGAGTGTGGGATGATGGTTGAGTGAGTGAGTGAAAGTGGTTGATCATGAGTGTGGGATGATGGGTGAGTGAGTGAGTGAGTGAGAAAGTAAGTGAACGTGGTTGAGTTGGTTTAGTTGATGAAGTTGGTTGAACAACGTTGAGTGAGGCCTGTAGCTCAGTGAGTGAGTGAGTGAGTGAGTTTGGTTTTACGCCGCTTTTAGCAATATTCCAGCAATATCACGGCAGGGGACACAAGAAATGAGCTATACACAATGTACCCATATGGGGATTCGAACCCGGGTCTTCGGCGTGACGAGCGAACGCTTTAACCACTAGGCTACCCCACTGCCTCTGTAGCTTAGTGTGTGGATGGTTGTTAGGAAGAGTGGTATGATGATAGTTGTAGGGTTTTGGTGAGTGAGTGTTATTTTATGACAGATGTGCATTTGTCTAAAGAGCTGAGGTATATTAATTCCGTTTATTGATGTTATGAGGAGAATTACGGTATGGCTACCATGAAAGAAAAAATACTATCGAACCATTCCAGTTTGTCTAGTGGTTGTCCAGTTGGCAGACTGTTGTGGATTAGTGGATTGTACTGAGAGGGTGAGTAGTTTAGTTGGGGGACATTGTGGGTCCAGTTGGCAGACTGTTGTGGATTAGTGGATTGTACTGAGAGGGTGAGTAGTTTAGTTGGGGACATTGTGGGTCCAGTTGGCAGACTGTTGTGGGTTAGTGGATTGTACTGAGAGGGTGAGTGGTTTAGTGGGGGACATTGTGGGTCCAGTTGGCAGACTGTTGTGGATTAGTGGATTGTACTGAGAGGGTGAGTGGTTTAGTGGGGGACATTGAGGGTCCAGTTGGCAGACTGTTGTGGATTAGTGGATTGTACTGAGAGGGTGAGTAGTTTAGTGGGGGACATTGTGGGTCCAGTTGGCAGACTGTTGTGGGTTAGTGGATTGTACTGAGAGGGTGAGTGGTCCAGTTGGGAAGATTGTAGATAAAGCCCGCAAAAACTGATCATGCAGAGACATGGGCCTGTCTTTGAGACCCATAACTTCAATAGAGTCACAGACATGGGCCTGTGTTTGAGACCCGTAACATTGATAGAGTCACAGACATGGGCCTGTGTTTGAGACCTGTAACATTGATAGAGTCACAGACATGGGCCTATCTTTGAGACCGATACATTGATAGAGTCACAGACATGGGCCTATCTTTGAGACCGATACATTGATAGAGTCACAGACATGGGCCTATGTTTGAGGCCCGTAACATTGATAGTGTTACAGACATGGGCCTATCTTTGAGGCCGATACATTGATAGAGTCACAGACATGGGCCTATCTTTGAGGCCGATACATTGATAGAGTCACAGACATGGGCCAATGTTTGAGACCCGTAACACTGATAGAGTCACAGACATGGGCCTATCTTTGAGACCGATTAATTGATAGAGTCACAGACATGGGCCAATGTTTGAGGCCCGTAACATTGATAGAGTTACAGACATGGGCCTATGTTTGAGACCCGTAACATTGATAGAGTCACAGACATGGGCCTATGTTTGAGACCCGTAACATTGATAGTGTTACAGACATGGGCCTGTGTTTGAGGCCCGTAACATTGATAGAGTCACAGACATGGGCCAATGTTTGAGGCCCGTAACATTGATAGAGTCACAGACATGGGCCAATGTTTGAGACCCGTAACATTGATAGAGTCACAGACATGGGCCAATGTTTGAGACCCGTAACATTGATAGTGTTACAGTCATGGGCCTATGTTTGAGGCCCGTAACATTGATAGAGTCACAGACATGGGCCTATGTTTGAGACCCGTAACATTGATAGAGTCACAGACATTGGCCTGTGTTTGAGACCCGTAACACTGATAGAGTCACAGACATGGGCCTATCTTTGAGACCGCTCAATTGATAGAGTCAGAGACATGGGCCTGTGTTTGAGACCCGTAACATTGATAGAGTCACAGACATGGGCCTATCTTTGAGACCGATATATTGATAGAGTCACAGACATGGGCCAATGTTTGAGACCCGTAACATTGATAGTGTTACAGACATGGGCCTATGTTTGAGGCCCGTAACATTGATAGAGTCACAGACATGGGCCTATGTTTGAGACCCGTAACATTGATAGAGTCACAGACATTGGCCTGTGTTTGAGACCCGTAACATTGATAGAGTCACAGACATGGGCCTATCTTTGAGACCGCTCAATTGATAGAGTCACAGACATGGGCCTGTGTTTGAGACCCGTAACATTGATAGTCACAGACATGGGCCTATCTTTGAGACCGATACATTGATAGAGTCACAGACATGGGCCTATCTTTGAGACCGATACATTGATAGAGTCACAGACATGGGCCTATCTTTGAAACCGATACATTGATAGAGTCACAGACATGGGCCTATGTTTGAGACCGATACATTGATAGAGTCACAGACATGGGCCTATGTTTGAGACCCGTAACATTGATAGTGTTACAGACATGGGCCTGTGTTTGAGGCCGGTAACATTGATAGTGTTACAGACATGGGCCAATGTTTGAGACCGATACATTGATAGTGTTACAGACATGGGCTGTGTTTGAGACCGATACATTGATAGAGTCACAGAATTGGGCCTATGTTTGAGACCCGTAACACTGATAGAGTCACAGACATGGGCCTGTGTTTGAGGCCTGTAACATTGATAGTGTTACAGACATGGGCCAATGTTTGAGGCCCGTAACATTGATAGAGTCACAGACATGGGCCTATGTTTGAGACCCGTAACATTGATAGAGTCACAGACATGGGCCAATGTTTGAGACCCGTAACATTGATAGTGTTACAGATATGGGCCTATGTTTGAGACCCGTAACATTGATAGAGTCACAGACATGGGCCTGTGTTTGAGACCCATAACATTGATAGAGTTACAGACATGGGCCAATGTTTGAAAGACATAACATTGATAGAGTCACAGATATGGGCCAATGTTTGAGGGCGGTAAGATGGCAGGCTGCAGGTTTCTTTCAGTTGTTATGTAGCCTGTAAACTATAACTCGCTCATATTATCGCGCTCCCCCTACCTCCCCCCTCTTGACTCATATTACACCAAATAAGTCAAACATCCTTTGCTGATTGTATTACTGGACATTATGGTCTCAGAGGCTTGCTACATTGGATTTAATATGTACTGTCAAATATGTTTCAATAATTCAAACAGACAATGTACTTGTCTCAACTAATCTCTCTTCCACTCACTCACTCTACTATTCTACCTCTCACTCAACCACTCAACCACTGACTCACTCATCGTCTGTCCGACTGACTCAACTATTCAACCACTTAACCACTCGCTCAACCACTCAACCGCTCAACCACTGACACTGACTCACGCATCGTCTGACTGACTGACTCAACCATTCAACCACCTAACCATTCACTTAACCACTCAACCACTTAACCACTCACTCAACCACTTAACCACTCACTCAACGACTGACTGACTGACTGACTGAGTCAGCTAGAATCAGATAACATTAGCTGGTGATTGCTGAGATTGCTAACCTGTCGACTCGTAACACCAGGTTAGATCCCACTGACAGAAATGGAACACTGATAAACAAACTTGGGTCTACTTCTGGGGGCTCGTAGCACCAGCCCACCTGGGTTGTGTGGGGAGTGTGTGCAGTGTGATCAGTAGGAGGTGTTTCACCACATCTGTACCAACATCAGCAATTGTAACAAAAGTAAATAGTTCTGGACAGAAGGGCCAGTCTCTGGATCCTTCAAGCTTTCTGCAGTAAACATCCCCTGTTTGAAGTTTAGACCTATGGTTGAGGAGCTGATACCCTTGAGTTCAGGAGATCATTGCTTGGTGGTCGTCAACTGTCAACTTTAAAGTTAAATATTTTGAGTATGTGAGTATGTGTTTACGCCACGTTCAGCAGTGTCGAGGTTGTGCCTGTACTCCCTGTACCCATGAGGGGAATCACACCTTACGTTCTATGTTAACAGGAGCAACAGTTATGTTAACAATGCGACTTCCGTGGACGGAGAATGAGAGTTGACGGAGGATGCGCCTCACCCTCATCCTCCTGTCACCGCTACAGCGACAGGGCGGCAACTTCTCCACCATCTCCAGAATCAGGTGAGCGTCCATTTATAACACCCATGAGCTTCACTCACAGAATTAGGTGAGCATTTAAACATTTCCAGAATCTCGTGACCTGCCATCTAAAACACACGTTAGCACGTGTTGGAGAAGGTCTGTAACTAAGACTGTTGGATAAACATGATCATAGTCAAAACTGAGCTCAGTAACGAAAACATAGTTTGGTATTGCACTGTGTCGCTACAAGGGTGCTGAACGCTGAAGTTCTGTGTGGCGATGCATCATGGGCATGCCAAAGTGAGTGAGTGAGTTTAGTTTTTCGCTGCACGTAGCAATATTCCAGCTATAGGGCGGTGGTCTGTAAATAATCAAATATGGACCAGACAATCCAGTGATCAACAGCATGAGCATGATATGTGCATTTGGGATACGATGACATGTTGCGTAGATCGATGCTCATGCTGTTGATCACTGAATTGTCTGGTCCAGACTCGAAAGGATACTAAAAAAATGTTAGTGCTTAGAGTTTGTTTCCAAATGTAACTGCTCATAATTAGGGGTGCATATTATATATGAATAAGTATTCTACACAGATATATATGGTTGCTTTCACCATCTCTAAATTCAAATGAGCTTTCAGCCCCAGAAACAGCTGAGCTAATATGTTAGTGAGAACATGTGAGCTACAATCTCCAGAATCAGGTGAGCTACAATCTCCAGAATCAGGTGAGCTACAATCTCCAGATTCAGGTGAGCTACAATCTCCAGATTCAGGTGAGCTACAATCTCCAGAATCAGGTGAGCTACAATCTCCAGAATCAGGTGAGCTACAATTTCCAGAATCAGGTGAGCTACAATCCCCAGATTCAGGTGAGCTACAATCGCCCGAATCAGGTGAGCTACAATCTCCAGAATCAGGTGAGCTACAATTGCCAGAATCAGGTGAGCTACAATTGCCAGAATCAGGTGAGCTACAATCGACAGAATCAGGTGAGCTACAATCTCCAGAATCAGGTGAGCTACAATCGCCAGAATCAGGTGACCTACAGTGTCCAGAATCAGGTGAGCTATCAAGTGAGCTATCCCTACCTTGATTTGATTTAAACATATTTATTTAAGAGGTGAGTTGAGGTGAAATTGGGTTTAACGTCGTACTTGAGAATATTTCGCTCATATGACGACATGCATGCGTGTGTATGTGTATGTGCGGCTGCTTGTACTAGCCCAGACTGAAGCCTGTTTTATAGTGCTAGCCCATTGACATACCATGCCGCAGTGAAGCATGAATACTCCACTCAGACACATTATACTTACTCTGAGCCGACCAGGCAGGGACCAACAAGTACCATATTTTAACATCTTTTGGTATGACGTGGTCGGGGATAGAACCCGCGACCTTCCGCTCTCCGGGCATTTATTCAAGAGAATGAATTGGGTACAAGTTATTCCAACTTAGTGAAACCATCTCCTGTTTACAGTGCTTACATGCAAAAGTGAAACAAACTATATGTACAGGGATAGAAACATATATACACAAGGAAACAAGGAAAATAAGACATTTAAATAAAGGAATACACTGAATGCATGAATTATTTAGATCATAAACATTACATCCAATTACTGAACCATTTGGAGTCTGATATGTATTTTGAACTTCTTTAAAAATTTGAATATTGTCACTGCACAGAAGATCTGCACTGCCATTTAATAGTACATCTAGGTTTGTTGGTGCTCTAATGTTACAAATTCTGCTAATATTTTGAAACATTTCCTCTCTGATATTAGAATACAAAGAACATTCCATAAAATAATGATGAGAAGTTTCACAGTAAATTTCCAATTACATTCGGGGTTCTCTATAAGACCAATCCTATATAGGTCACCACTATTTGAATATCTTAGCTGGGTATGAATTACATTGAGTTTTCAATTACCAAATGAGAAATATCCTGGTGCTTTTGACTTACGCAAGCTCATATGCGATTTAAAACTTTTAAGGGAAACTGATTCTCTAACGTATAAAGAGAGATTGTTCCAAAGTTGTGAAGATGATGGGAAAAATGATTGACTCTACAGATTTGTGCGGGAATAAGACAGGGAAAGATCACGAATGTTTCTAAGATTATAATTTGTCCTAGATTCAACAGTTTGAGGCATCAGATCACAAAGGTAGGATGTAGCGCCTTCAGTACTATCCCTAGCGTAAGTACTAGCGTGACATCTTCTGTCTCCAGCTCCTACCTGACCAGTCATGGCCACCGGTGCCTCATGGAGGACCCGAAGACCTTCCAGTCCATCACCGAGTTCCAGGCATTCCTGCACCACAAGAGCGTGGACCTTGTTATTGGGATCCATGCCTACAGATCGGGCTGCCTTATCAGAGGTATCACTGTGTTGTTTGTGTTGGGGCACAGCAGTTCCTTACAGTCCATGAGAGTGATAAATGTCTGACAGGTTATATTTACCAGAAATGGCTACTGTATAGCACAGAGATCAATAACATTAAGATGCATTTCCCAGTTTTACCTCGTCACCAATGTTGCCAGATGAAGACTCACCTTGTCGTCAAGGTTACACATGCTGTCTTTCCATTGTAACATGATGCAAATCCCAAGAGAATCTGAGTTAGAATTCCGCGACACATGCCTTGTGTAGGAGGCTTTAGTCAGTTGCAATGTCTATCACTGCTCTGTGTTGAGCTGGACTCATTACAGACTTCTTCCATAGGGCAAGAATATTGCTAGTCTAGATGAACTCATTACTTACATACTTCTTCCATAGGGCAAGAATATTGCTAGTCTAGATGAACTCATTACTTACTTACTTCTTCCATAGGGCAAGAATATTGCTAGTCTAGATGAACTCATTACAGACTTCTTCCATATGGCAAGAATATTGTTAGTCTAGATGTAATCCGCACAAACATGCAGACAGGAAGGAGGCTGTTTCTCTTCCAGCCAGCACCGTACCCTCCATCCTCATCCTCGGGGGCACCGATGTCAATGAGTTCTACAAGGACATCAACAAACTGTCCATCATGACGGAGGCCGTTCACACTGCCAGGTAACTCCAGGCTCCTGTCTGCTGTTGATAGTCCAATATTGCTGGTTGACTATTGCTGGTTGAATGTCTGCTGCTGAAAGTCCAGTATTGCTGGTTGACTATTGCTGGTTGAATGTCTGCTGCTGAAAGTCCAGTATTGCTGGTTGACTATTGCTGGTTGAATGTCTGCTGCTGAAAGTCCAGTATTGCTGGTTGACTATTGCTGGTTGAATGTCTGCTGCTGAAAGTCCAGTATTGCTGGTTGACTATTGCTGGTTGAATGTCTGCTGCTGAAAGTCCAGTATTGCTGGTTGACTATTGCTGGTTGAATGTCTGCTGCTGAAAGTCCAGTATTGCTGGTTGACTATTGCTGGTTGAATGTCTGCTGCTGAAAGTCCAGTATTGCTGGTTGACTATTGCTGGTTGAATGTCTGCTGCTGAAAGTCCAGTATTGCTGGTTGAATGTCTATTATTGCTGGTTGACTATTGCTGGTTGAATGTCTGCTGCTGAAAGTCCAGTATTGCTGGTTGACTATTGCTGGTTGAATGTCTGCTGCTGAAAGTCCAGTATTGCTGGTTGACTATTGCTGGTTGAATGTCTGCTGCTGAAAGTCCAGTATTGCTGGTTGACTATTGCTGGTTGAATGTCTGCTGCTGAAAGTCCAGTATTGCTGGTTGACTATTGCTGGTTGAATGTCTGCTGCTGAAAGTCCAGTACTGAAAGTCCAGTATTGCTGGTTGACTATTGCTGGTTGAATGTCTGCTGCTGAAAGTCCAGTATTGCTGGTTAACTATTGCTGGTTGAATGTCTGCTGCTGAAAGTCCAGTATTGCTGGTTGACTACTGATGGTTGAATGTCTGCTGCTGAAAGTCCAGTATTGCTGGTTGACTATTGATGGTTGAATGTCTGCTGCTGAAAGTCCAGTATTACTGGTTGATGGTTGACCAGACTGTTAGAACAATATTACCACAGTTGGTTGAAACATGGCACTGCATCTCACATATTATTAATTCTAAGATGCTTCATTATAAGATCAAAGGCACCGACAGTACTTTATCAGGTGACAAAGTACACTATTTGCATTACGTTACACTGTATTGACGTCACCACGGGATCCTTGTCTGTCCCCTAGTAATGGAACGTAACCCTGTCAGTTGTCATCGCCCCTGCAGTGAACATAGCACCCCATTTCTTGGTTTGCAGTTGCTTCACTCAGCTAACATCACTGGTGGAAACATTATGTTTAACTTTTTGCGATGGATTATTATTGGATATTTATTGGATATTTATATAGCGCACATATCCAGGCAACTAGTACATGCACAAGATGCTGGTATTTTTTCCCTTGATCACTGGATGTTAATGGGTGCAACGGCACATCGTATTATCAATCTCAACTCTCCGGAGAGCATACAACTCTTGCAGCCGCACCGGGTTATTGTGGCTTTCTTATCCTTACGAGGTACCCATTCACAGCTTGGTGGACTGGGACACATAGTCACAGTACTTTGTCCAAGTTAAGTGCATGTTGCTGTACCCGCAACTAGGTGTTTGCACGTATTCATGTGGCCACCATCTGGTCATATACCAACGGATTCGTGGATTCTTTTAAGTGAACAGGGTTGTGTACTGTACACTAGGGGTTGTGACAACACTGAAAGAGTCTGCACACAAAGTTGACTCCAAGTTTTTTTACACCCGGTCACAAGTGGGCTCGATCCCGACACCTCAAGCTCGCTGGATCACTAGCCTGGCGCTTTAGCCAGCTCGCCCACCGCGCCCCAGATGGATAAATGTCTCAGCTTGAATCACAAGTAAACAGCGACACGGCAATGTTTGCTGACTGAGCCTTTGTCCACAGTCACCACAATACATCCGTGCAATGTCACGTGACTAGTCAACTTCATCTCTATTTACTGTTCAAACGTTGGTATACCCTTGAAGATCCGGGTTAGAGTATTGATCTGAGTAACCCATGCTTGTCGTAAGAGGCGACTAACGGGATCAGGTGGTAAGACTCACTGACTTTGTTGACATATGTCATTGGTTCCCAATTGCGTAGATCGATGCTCATGCTGTTGATCACTAGATTGTCTGGTCCAGACTCGATTATTTACAGACCACTTTCATATAGCTGGAATACTGCTGAGTGCGGCGTGAACCTAAACTCACTCACTCAAACGGTGGTAGTAGAATGTGTTCCCAATGTGGTTTACGATAATCACAGATGCAACCAAAATAATACAGAGAAGATATTTAACCTGAACATAAACCAGAAAAGTTTAAATCAAGAAATCTTAGAAAAGAAATACAGTTCGCTCTGCCACCATGTATAGTGTAATGACATACACTTTTACCCTGTCCTGTTATAGTTGAAGTACGAGGATGTTTATTATTTCTTAATTATATGTCATGTAACTATATCGCTGTTGAGAGTTTATGTGAATGTTACGTGCTTGGAGCAGGACATTAGCAGATACAAATTATTATAGAATTTAGCCATTGGCCAGACCTGAAGGAATAGAACTATAGCACTTAAAGAAACCACCAGGGCCCAGTGTGAATGACTACTTGTATATATAAACGCAATCACAATCGGGGTATTTTTCTCTTTTGGAACTGTGTCAGAAAAGGAACAAATGTCTTCTCCATAGAGATGTAATAACATGCATTAAAACTTGGTACATGCCTCTTTTTGTATGGCTCTCTCAAGATTAGTCAACGGTCAAGGTCAGCAAGGTTTTGTTAATCGGGTTCATATCATTGGTATTGTCCTGTCCCCATGCAACTTCACAAATCCAACCAGAGTAGCTGCTGGTGCCATGTCTACCAAGGTCAAGGTCATCTGTAAGGGTATTTTAAAATGGCTTACTTTTCCAGCTGCTGTTGCTCCCATACTTGTCTAATGCAGATATTGGATAATTTATATGAACTTGTATTGAATAAAAGGAAATAAAGTTTTTACTGAAAGCAAAATAAGTGTTTTTCAAGACTTAAGGAAATGCCTGCAACGCCTGTTGTTTATATTTGTCTGCTGTAAATTGTCTAATGTTGATGTAATAAAAGTGTACTAGACCTGTCACATGACTGCCTCACTCTCTGGTTGCAGATATGTTGTGGTGTTCAGTCCGTCAATGTTGTCGAGAACATCGTCTTTATGGGTGAGAAGGGACGCTATTAACATCATTAAACATAACTTGTGCTTCATGCAAAATCTAACTATCTTAACTAATCCTTCTGTTACCATGGCTACAATACATAACTGCTGCATTTATGAATCTATGGTAAAATATATGCTCTAGACACTATGTGTTTTTAAAGACAGTTGTAAAACCCGTGTTATGATTAGAACTACTGACCTCCCATCAGTATGTAGACAGCATCTTCTGACGGAACTTGTGGGATGGGTGACCAGCCATCTGAGATGTAACCTAGGACTCCGGCTTGGATTCCTGGTTAAACATTCATCTTGTTTGTTGGTTTGTCAACCAAACACCCTGTGCAGATGGTTTTCACCTGAGTGGAGAACATGTTTCACCTGTATCACTGCGGTATTATCTCTCTAATAGAGCTTACCCAGTGTATGTAACTGAAATAATGTTCAAAGCAGGTTTAAACTGAACTCGCTCACTCACATGGGCTTTATTGAGATTGTAACCTTGATGACAACAAATCAGGAACATGTGGGGAGGTGTTTTAATTGTTGTTATTGTTTATTGTTTTTCACAGCCAGAAATGCCGAGTAACAAAGTCAAGGAAATCAAACAAGGTTTGTATTCATCTACTGCTTTTACTTGTCGTCCTGGGCTAGCTTAGTGGATAAAGTGTTTGTTCATCAAGCTGAGGACTTGTGTCTTCATGATGCAGCTGTGATAACTGAACCCCTTCTGTGTTGCAGCTGTGATAACTGAATCCCCTGTGTTGCAGCAGTGATAACTGAATCCCCTGTGTTGCAGCTGTGATAACTGAACCCCTTCTGTGTTGCAGCTGTGATAACTGAATCCCCTGTGTTGCAGCTGTGATAACTGAATCCCCTGTGTTGCAGCTGTGATAACTGAATCCCCTGTGTTGCAGCTGTGATAACTGAATCCCCTGTGTTGCAGCTGTGATAACTGAATCCCCTGTGTAGCAGCTGTGATAACTGAATCCCCTGTGTAGCAGCTGTGATAACTGAATCCCTCTGTAGCAGCTGTGATAACTGAATCCCCTGTGTAGCAGCTGTGATAACTGAATCCCCTGTGTAGCAGCTGTGATAACTGAATCCCCTGTGTTGCAGCAGTGATAACTGAATCCCCTGTGTTGCAGCTGTGATAACTGAATCCCCTGTGTTGCAGCTGTGATAACTGAATCCCCTGTGTAGCAGCTGTGATAACTGAATCCCCTGTGTTGCAGCTGTGATAACTGAATCCCCTGTGTAGCAGCTGTGATAACTGAATCCCCTGTGTTGCAGCTGTGATAACTGAATCCCCTGTGTAGCAGCTGTGATAACTGAATCCCCTGTGTTGCAGCTGTGATAACTGAATCCCCTGTGTTGCAGCTGTGATAACTGAATCCCCTGTGTTGCAGCTGTGATAACTGAATCCCCTGTGTAGCAGCTGTGATAACTGAATCCCCTGTGTTGCAGCAGTGATAACTGAATCCCCTGTGTTGCAGCTGTGATAACTGAATCCCCTGTGTAGCAGCTGTGATAACTGAATCCCCTGTGTTGCAGCTGTGATAACTGAATCCCCTGTGTTGCAGCTGTGATAACTGAATCCCCTGTGTTGCAGCTGTGATAACTGAACCCCTGTGTTGCAGCTGTGATAACTGAATCCCCTGTGTTGCAGCTGTGATAACTGAACCCCTTCTGTGTTGCAGCTGTGATAACTGAATCCCCTGTGTTGCAGCAGTGATAACTGAATCCCTCTGTGTTGCAGCTGTGATAACTGAATCCCCTGTGTTGCAGCTGTGATAACTGAACCCCCTGTGTTGCAGCTGTGATAACTGAATCCCCTGTGTTGCAGCTGTGATAACTGAATCCCCTGTGTTGCAGCTGTGATAACTGAATCCCCTGTATTGCAGCTGTGATAACTGAATCCCCTGTGTTGCAGCTGTGATAACTGAACCCCTTCTGTGTTGCAGCTGTGATAACTGAACCCCGTCTGTGTTGCAGCTGTGATAACCGAACCTTCCTCCTCCTTCTGCTTGCTAAAGTACCTGAAGTCCCACAACCACATCCCTGCGGGAACTACATCGCTCCGCAACATCACAGTGTTCCTCCTTGTCGGGGGCATCAGGCCGGTCAAGGACCCGGTGTTTCTTATTGACAAGTTTTCAGGTAGGATCAATGTCTGTCTGGTTGGATATCATCATTACTGTGTCAGCATTGTCAAGGTTACAGATGTGTGTGTGTCAGCATCGGCAAGGTTACAGATGTGTGTGTGTGTCAGCATGGTCAAGGTTACAGATGTGGCTGTGTGTCTGCCTCGTCAAGGTTACAGATGTGTGTGTGTGTCAGCATGGTCAAGGTTACAGATGTGGCTGTGTGTCAGCATGGTCAAGGTCACAGATGTGTCTGTGCCTGTGAGTGTTTGTCATGTGTAGGAGTTGGTGTTTTTGTCATCCATCATGCTCGGGTCAGGTCTCAGAAATCACCATCAGACATCATAATGTCTGGACCAACTGGTTTCCTCTGTAATAAGTATAGCATTTTCCAAATAATAATGGCAATATATCAACAAACATCTGAATTGTGAATTGCTTTCTTTCCAGAGTGGCACAGAGAGGACTGCTCAGTGTATTATGTGATCATTGGACCGAAGGTGAGTTAGTTAGGACAGGGATTGTCACTCTCCACTTGCCTGTCGATGCACACCTAGCCACAGAGATGCTCGGGTGGAGCGCCACGGAGATCCTCGGGTGGAGCGCCACAGGGTGCATGCACTGTGTACTTTTGCCTACTCTCCCAAACTGCAGCAATCACACAAACTTGACTCGTGTTTGTTGAGCTGCACATGCTACCGTGTGTGTGTCCGGAAATGTTCATCATGTTTATGTGTCTGTCTTTCAGATTGATGCAGAATACTTTGAAGAAACTTTCTGGCCAGCTGTGAAACAGTAAGTTGAACTGATGATTGTCTCAAAAACAGAAAACATGAAATTGCTGAAAAAATAAGTTTTTTTAAATGTAATAAAAGTAACTCTAAATAAACATTTAGCAAGGCACTTTGCATGAAATTTGATGTCACATCTTGTGCAGGACTAAGGAAGCACAACATCCCCAACAACGTGCAATACATGCAATTTTGCTCCAGCGTCACTGACAGGCACGTCTTGTCTAATGCAGACAGCATCTCCGGTACGGGAGACATGATTGGGATGGTGTTTTGTTCACTGACGAGTCGAGATTTCATCTGGGCAACTCAGAAGGCAGGGCAACGGTGTACAGACGGTGAGGTGAACGGTATGCTGATGCGGGCATTGTTCAATGTTGACAGTTTGGTGGCGACAGCGTAATAGTATGGGGAAACATCACATCTCATGGTCAACACAACTTGTCATTGTCAATGGCTATCTGACAGGTCTGCGATACAGGGATGAGATCATTGGGCCTCATGTGCAGCCATTCATTCAAGGACAGAGATGTAATTTCACACTTCAGCAAAATAATGCCCGTCCACATGTTGCTTGTGTTGTGACAGATTTCCTGAGACAGCAAAACTTTCTGGTATTCCCCTGACCAGCTGTTTCTCCGAACGTGTCCCTTATCGAGCTACGTTTACGTCAAACCCAGAATCAGCCATTGGTGTTAGCTGAATTGGGTCCAGGTTTGGTTAGACATGGAACAACACTCCCCAAGCTTTCTTCAATCGCTTACTGTTGTCTATGCGTCGTTGTTGTCAAGCCTGCATTAGCACCAATGGTTGACACACACGATATTGAATTTCTGAACTGACTCTTCACACCACATCTCTTCAAGGGGTGTCATGATGCCACGTATATCCAGTTATTGCTGTATTCCTCGGAAATCCTCGCCATCTCTCAAAGGGCAGAGAGCCTCGATGAAATGAGTGCTACATGATCTGCTGGAGTGGGAGAACACACACTTACGTCCATCACGACAGCACCAAGATTCGACTCAGAGAGTTTCTGGAGTAGGGAGTTTATGTACAGCAGGTACAACTTCCCTGACAGCACACCACCTTGTCTGATACCCTGCATCATGGGGATAGGCCTAGAGCACATTGAGTCAAGGAAAACTCGACACATCATTCCCGTGTACATGTCGTCAAGAACAGTCCACAAGGAGCCTTTAACTCCACACTCGAATAACTTGTATTTGAGACCACTGTGCCATACAGTGTCGAAGGCCTTTGATGTATCCAGGAACACAACATGGGTATCCTCCTTTCGCTCGCGGTAATGGTGTTTTGTCTCTTGCACGTTGAAGGGTGTGTGAAGAGCAGATAACTGAGATTGATATGCCATTTGTTGTGGGTCAGGAAAGGAATCAGTTTGATTTAGTACATCCAGTCGAGAAAGGAGCACCATCTCAAACACCTTGGACAACACGGGGGAGAGTGATATGCCACGGTAAGAGTTCGAGTCTTTGATATCAAGGTCATGGGTAAGTCTGTGAGATGTGGTTTTCACTTGCTTGCCTCATGTGCTTCCTGAAGTCAGATTTTGCTGCCTTGTATTCTCTGTAGGACGTGTGTGCAGGCCCACGAGGTTTGCCATCAGCAAGCCACACACAATGCTTAGCAGTCATGTGATTATGACAATCATTCACAACCTTGTTCCAGTATGGTTTCCGGAATCACCGGAATGGTTTTATTGGTAGTTTCTCTCTGCTGGTATGCAAAATAATACATGTTATTGCTGAATAATATTCGTCAATATCAGTCAATTCACAATCCTCTGCAGGAGTTTTAAAGAACAAATAAACTTTGTATTTTTTGTACACTTTTGACCATTACATATGAAAGACTTGTGGTTAGTGTTCAGCGGAACACCGAATTCATTCTTAAAAAACATATCGCTAATTAATACTGAGTAATTAAAAGTTGCCAAAAAGCTGTCTACTTCACTCTCACCCACCAACGAAACCACAAAGAGGTTATGTTACTCTGTTGCCAGAGCACTGCAGCGAACTAGGAGTGACGTCATGTGAGGAAGGATTTTCAGTCAGTTGTGTATGAAGTGTGTAATAAGCTCATAATTCTTTTGATTTCTCGACGTTTTCATCGAGCAAAAAAAATCAAAATTACTTACCAGTTGTAGTAAAATATGTATATGATTGATGACCAAAAACATTTTGCATGACACAACTTTTAATATAACAATTTCTTCCTCGGAAGCAAGGTTGTGGTCGAAGTGGTCTAGTTATGGCCAGTGCGTTCTAGTTATGGCCAGTGTGGTCCAGTTATGGACAGTGTGGTCCAGTTATGGCCAGTGTGGTCCAGTTATGGCCAGTATGGTCCAGTTATGGCCGGTGTGGTCCAGTTATGGACAGTGTGGTCCAGTTATGGCCAGTGTCCTCTAGTTGTGTAAGGTATGTCAGGTCTCTTTATATACTCTGACAAAGTTCCAACATTTTTCACAATATAGAGACCAAACAGGAGTGTTTCCAGACAGCAGCAATATGGCTGCTGTACAACTGACAGGTGAAGCAGTGCTTAAAGTGGTACAAGAATCTTTATTGAAACATTGCATTCATGAAATAAAAGAATTTATTATCCATAAAATGTACCATCATTGCACTTCCAAACTTCTAAAATGTCCCTCACAGAAGATTTTCCTTCAGTTGTAGAAACAGTGCTATTAACTATAATAAAAGATGGTACATTAACTGTACAGACAAGCCCTTCTGACAACTGTGGAAAGACATCATCATCTGTTGAAATACATTGAAACCTGTTTAAACTGGCACCCCACGGGACCGAAATATGCCGGTTTAGACAATGTGCCGAATTAGACAGTGACGATCATTTTCAATATGTTTTTGTCAATAAAACCAGTGCTATTTATTTAAAATGACACATGTCACTCAGTTGAAAACCGTTAATGCAATCCCCCCAGTGTTTATAAAGCATAACCATGGTAATCCTACGAGCATTTGATCCACCGTGCAATCACGACTTCCTGATTATCTAGCGTACCATGAGGATTAATTAGTGTACTGGATTATGGGTCCTTGATTGGACTGCTCATACCCATGCTGGTTTAGACAGTGTTAATTTCAGTTAAAATTGCTTGTTGGGACCGGAAAGTTGTGCCGGAATACAGAATAGACAGGTGCCGGATTAGACAATGTTTTAATGATCATAATATCGTTGTAAGATGGCAGGACCCAAATTTTATGCCGGTTTTGACAGTGCGCGCTGGATTAGACAGGTGCCGGTGTTGGCAGGTTTCACTGTACTGTTGTGTGATGATAGATGAAGGATGAAGTTAAGAGAGATCACAGATTGGACGTTCTCACTGTGGTTGTGTCAACAGGGCAAGGGTTTTCTCTTTGAAATGAACGCATTGCTTATACAGTACAACCAGAAATTATTGACAATTTAAAGATTGTAATTTTTTATATTTCTTTCACTCATTACTCACGTATTAAATGTGAATTTTAGCAGAACATAACTCCAGATTCAAAGACAGGTGAACAGTTAGTATTTTGTCAAGTCACCATGGGCAGCAATGCAGGCTTCAATGCGGCGGGGCATACTACTGATCAAAGAAGTTAGAAAGTCCTGGTCCATGCTGTCCCAATATGGGACCACCTCTTCTTTCGTTCCAGCAATATTTGTCAGATTTTTCTTATTGACACTTTCCTTCATAAGTCCCCAAACATTTTCTATTGGATTTAGGTCAGGGCTATAGCTTGGGCAATCTAATATATTTTGGGTCAGAAACGAGGCTTGCGAATGCTTTGAACGATGTTTTGGGTCGTTGTCCTGCTTGAAATCCAAAAGATTTCCATAGAACACGTGAGCAGTTGGAAGTAAATGTCCCTCGGGAATATCTATGTACCGCTCACTGTTCATATTCCCTTCAAATACACAGAGGGGCGTTGCCCCTTACACAGATATGCCACCCCACACGTTAAATTTTGGACTGTACTTTGGGCGCTGATACAAAGGTTTTTCAGTTTGTTTGGTCCAGAATTTCAGTGTATTAGGAAACAGCCACACATAACTTTCATCTGAGATAATCACATTGTCCGAGTTAAAATTTCTATGCTGTAAGCACCAGTTCAACCTTCGCTCCTTTTGTTCAGGTTTCATGATCGGTGATGGAATTCCTCGACTTTTCTGCCAACCCATTGTATGCAACTCAGTTCTAATTGTCTCCTTACAGACAGCCACAGTTCCTCTATCAGCCTTAAGTTTTCTAACCTCCTTCATTTGTTTTTAGAAACAAGAATACCAAGCCGCCTCCTGTCACCGACAGTAAATTTTCTGGGCCTACCTGCGCCTCCCTGGTGCTCAATGCCATATCCATTTGCAATATTTTTCAAACCACGATAAACAGTGGACAAAGGGATGCCTGTTCTACTTGAAATCGCTTTAGCTGATCTGATGTCCTTGTTATAATACTCTAAAATCAACTTCCTCTTCTCTAAATCATCCATACTGAGGATTACTGAAAATGTCGTCTTCTAGCAAGTAAACAAATGGGGATAACTCTTCACAAACTAATGAAAAGGGATTAACGGAGTTGTCTCTCTTGAATGAAACCAAGCACTTGATAGCTGGTCAAGGTTGATTATACTAGAAATCCAATTAAACATATTCCTAAAATTCTCAATAATTTCTGGTCATACTATATATCCTCAGTTCTTGAGTTGACAGCAGGACTAATGTTGATCTGTGAAGTATTGTGGGTGTGGTAAGAACTACACAGCAAGGTAAACAGAGAATCTCATCCTCAGAGTTGTAACTTTTATCAACTTTAGAAGTTTGTGGACCCTCATGACCAGTGAGTTGACTATACCATGTTTTTTTTATTTTCAGATCTCCTGGTGTGATCTACATCCCAGGCCTGTCTAAGGAAGACACCCATGCAGCTATGAGAGACTGCTTCTCATTGGTCAATTCTTCAAAGAGTGAAGGAATGTCATTGGCTATTCTTGAGGTATGACAGTCTTCCTTTGTTTTCATTTGGTTCTGGAAGAAATATATGTTGTTGTCAAGTAGCTTTACAACCCTCTCTGTCTGGGACATTGTTGGATAAGATCATGAGTCTCCCATTACATGGCAGAGCTGTCAACCCCTAAAGATGGTTTGGAGTGAAACTGAAAAAAATAAGATGGGGTCATGTCGAGGGTGACACCCTGGTGGGGGGTCTCTGGGCGAAAGCCCCCTGCCCCCGAAAATGAAGTTTAGTGATTTTCAGGAGCATTTGGAGCCTTCTGGTGGCATTATTTTGACACTAAAAGATGCATGCTAATAAATAATAATAAGCCGAATCATTCGCATAAACATCGTTTTAGTACTTCGTTCATTCAGGCTTTCTTTCAATGTTCAACTTTAAGCAAAAACGAACGAAAATGCGTATTAATTTTGAAATTATTTTTGGCTACCAGATATGCGTGAGATTATTATTTGGAGGCGTGAGAGCGTGACATTTGTCAATAAAGCGTGAGATTCACGCCAACTGCGTGAGAGTTGACAGGTATGACATGGTCCAGTAATGTTCTTATACTGTCTTCCTATCAACTATTACAAGTGACTGCATCTAACTTCAACCTTCTTTTGTAAATTTCTAGTAAATACAAATCAACAACAAAAAGTGAAGTGGTTATGAAGGTTAATTGTTTAAGACGTTCCCACTGCGGTGTTGTGTTTGTGGACAGGCGATGGATGTGGGGGTGCCCGTATTGGCCCGCAGAGTGACCGGGAACCGGGATCTCATCCAGGATGGGGAGACCGGCCTGCTGTACGACACACCTCAGGTAACTCGAGCTTTGTTCCTAGACCGGTTTACATCACTCTTTATTCTTTTTAGCAGTAACAGGATTTATCTAAAATAGTGGAACCTGTGCTGATTCTTGTTCAAGTCCATGTGTCATGACTGATGAACATCAAGTCTTCCACGAGTTCTGACTATACACACTTAAGGTGGAGTGATACAGTAAACATTTGGAGTTAGTTGGTTAAATTATTTTGTCACATCGGCAATATTTCAGCCATATTCGTTGGTTTCACATTAATTTTCGACTCGCTGTGCGCATGCGTAGAGCGTGTAAAAATATCCACTGGTCAATTCCGGTTTGGTCGTAATAGCGATATTGTAAACACGCTCTAAATAAATGCTGTATAAAAATTATTTACACGTGACAACTGTTCATAGTTGAGTACATACATCCATTTGCCTATGCTTTTCAATAATTGATGTCCTATTTTGGTGGCATTGCATCAGAGATGTGTTTTTTTACTTGTGAGAAGGGGATGTGCAGGAAGGACGGTGGACGGGTGGTGGTGAGATGTGTTTATACAAGAGCTTGTTAACAAACGTTAAGCTATTTATGTAACTGATTCCGGTCCCTTCCATTCATAAATGAATTGAGATTAGTTAAATTCGACATAAAACCATATATTTGTTTTGATTTTTGCTTTCTTTAGAGTGCTTCGCGATCCTGACTAGCCCCGCGATCCTGACTAGCCCCGCGATCCTGACTAGCCCTGTGATCCTGACTAGCCCTGCGATCCTGGATTGCCCCGTGATCCTGATTTGCCCTGTGATCCTGACTAGCCCCGCGATCCTGATTTGCCCTGTGATGCCCTGCGATCCTGACTAGCCCCACGATCCTGACTAGCCTCACAATCCTGAGTAGCCCCACGATCCTGATTTGCCCTCTGATCCTGACTAGCCCCATGATCCTGACTAGCCCTGCGACCCTGATTTGCCCTCTGATCCTGACTAGCCCCACGATCCTGACTAGCCCTGTGATCCTGACTAGCCCTGTGATCCTGACTAGCCCTGTGACCCTGACTAGCCCCGCGATCCTGACTGGCCCTGTGACCCTGACTAGCCCCGCAATCCTGACTAGCCCTGTGACCCTGACTAGCCCCATGATCCTGACTAGCCCTGTGATCCTGACTAGCCCTGCGACCCTGATTTGCCCTCTGATCCTGACTAGCCCCACAATCCTGACTAGCCCTGTGATCCTGACTAGCCCTGTGACCCTGACTAGCCCCGCGATCCTGACTGGCCCTGTGACCCTGACTAGCCCCGCAATCCTGACTAGCCCTGTGACCCTGACTAGCCCCATGATCCTGACTAGCCCTGTGATCCTGACTAGCCCCGCGATCCTGACTAGCACCATATATGCAGCAGCCATCTGTTCGTAGTTACAGCTGTTAATTATTTTGCAGGAATTTGTTCTCAAGGCTCGTTCCATCATGTCTTCTCCTGAAAAGAGGGATCAAATTGTTGCCATGGCGAGGGACCAGGTTGCCCAGCAACACTGCTACAAGGTAGAGGGACACGCCTACATGAGGCTGGTCCAGACTGCTCTGTCCGAGGAGTGCTCTGTCTAACACTCACATACACATGATCAACAACAAGTGTATGGGGATCATTTTAGAGTTATGAGGCTTTTTCCTCAGAAGGTTTTTTATTTATCAAATCCACTTATTACCTGGTGAAATATTCCTGAAATGTGTAATGAAGTTTAAGGCTAGTGGGCACCCGTAGCTAGGGTAACCATGACATTATTTGTGTAGCAATATTTTAATATTTTTGATTGACATGTAACAACAATTTTCAATTTTTGATGTATTGCAATATGACATTATTGAAAGTTTAACATGTTTACATGTAGTGAATTAGAGCTCACATGGCAGGCAGAAATATTCATAAACATGTTGATCGTTGTAACGTTAGAAACAGATTAGCGACTTCCTTCTAATGCAGTGAGATATTTTAACTGTTAGATAAAGACAATTTTTCAACATATATTTAATAGTCTAATCTATATATAGAACTGCTTTGGAAGATGTTTTACATTGGAAGGACAGGGAGAGATCCTGTGTAGTGACAGACCGAACCACCTCATTGTGATCCTGTGATGACTGTTTAACTTCACAGTCATACTCGTCCCAGGACAGAACTTCCCTCGGCAAACCCTCAGTCTGGTCAAATAATAACACTCGTCTATTATTCGTTTTGTCAGAATTTTGACGAGAACAAAATTTCAATTTCTCTTTTTGCTAGTAGGAGTTGGCAACAAGGGATCAGGACTACAGAGGAGGAGGGGAGTGTGTTGAGATTTCACCTCTGGCAGTCCGGCTGGAGACGATTTATGATTTGTAACATAGCCATCAGGACTACAGAGGAGGAGGGGAGTGTGTTGAGGTTTCACCTCTCGCAGTCAGGCTGGAGACGATTTATGATTTGTAACATAGCCATCAGGACTACAGAGGAGGAGGGGAGTGTGTTGAGGTTTCACCTCTCGCAGTCAGGCTGGAGACGATTTATGATTTGTAACATAGCCATCAGGACTACAGAGGAGGAGGGGAGTGTGTTGAGATTTCACCTCTCGCAGTCCGGCTGGAGACAATTTATGATTTGTAACATAGCCATCAGGACTACAGAGGAGGAGGGGAGTGTGTTGAGATTTCACCTCTGGCAGTCCGGCTGGAGACGATTTATGATTTGTAACATAGCCATCAGGACTACAGTGGAGGAGGGGAGTGTGTTGAGATTTCACCTCTGGCAGTCAGGCTGGAGACGATTTATGATTTGTAACATAGCCATCAGGACTACAGAGGAGGAGGGGAGTGTGTTGAGATTTCACCTCTCGCAGTCCGGCTGGAGACAATTTATGATTTGTAACATAGCCATCAGGACTACAGAGGAGGAGGGGAGTGTGTTGAGATTTCACCTCTCGCAGTCCGGCTGGAGACAATTTATGATTTGTAACATAGCCATCAGGACTACAGTGGAGGAGGGGAGTGTGTTGAGATTTTACCTCTCGCAGTCCGGCTGGAGACGATTTATGATTTGTAACATAGCCATCGGGTTCAGCGTTAATAAAAGACAAAGTTTTAAAACTCACATTATTAGTTCTTCAACAGTCCAGATTTTTAGAAATGGCACAATTTTCTGTTCACGAAGAAAGGTACAATAATCGTAAGTGAATAAGAGCAGCTTTACTTCATATCAAGAAAAGAAACTATCCTTGAGTTAGGTGAGCATCTCACAGAACTGAGATGTTTCTGTGCTGACAAGGTCAACAACATGCACTAGACTGTAGACCACGCAGCATCATTGTTTGTACGTGGCGTCGCGGGGAGACTCACTGAACTGAGATGTTTCTGTACTGACAAGGTCAACAACATGCACTAGACTGTAGACCACGCAGCATCGTTGTTTGTACCTGGCGTCGCGGGGAGACGAATTTTCATTGCACTCATGAACTGCTGTTGTACAATCCACGCCTTCCTTTAGGCCTTCCAGAATTTTCTTTAGTTCAGTTTTCACATGTTGAATTGAGACCTTTGGCAAAATAGTTTTAAAATTATAACCTGGAATGGAAGTTGCAGGTTTGAAAGTAGACCTGTGAAGCTCAAGAAAGCTGCATTCTTGTTTGTCATTATATTGCTGGGTGAAAGTTTGTGACATGTAATGGATGTTCACAGATGTTTCTGTACAGGGTAGCATGCACAAAGGTCTTTGTTTTTCTTTTCTTTTTTTTTTTTGTGCACAAAGGTCTGATTTGAATGATATTGGGTAGAAAACTTCTTAATGTGAGATAAATGCTGTGTAAACTGAATCAAAGTAATTTTTTTAATTTGTAAATGGGAAATGTCGATTTTCCTCAAAAGATGAATTTTGTAGTGAAGATTCTGGTCAGTTCTTGTTTAGTTGTTAAATACGTCTGAACTGAATGATATTGTTATTATGGGCTGAGCCCCATACCACAAGTCTATCTTAGCTTTAAAGCCGTTGTAAATGTGTGTTAATAGAAGGGTAATGCTATTTTTGAGGGCATTATCATTTGCAGAAGCCTGTGGTCTTCCAGTTGGAAAAGACTGAGGACTTCTGCAAATGATAATGCCCTCAAAAATAGCATTACCGTTATTATTGCTAAAATACATGGAATTTGTGTTGAAAAGTAAAAGGAAACAATGAAGGAATTTGACTGTAGATTTACTCAAAACCAACTTCTGACGGGGTTGACTGACTGAATGCAATTACGTCATCGAACAATTCAAGTGACGTCACAACAGAAAGTGATGTCACAACAGAAAGTGATGATATTCGACCTTGGCCTTTGACAAGACCATAGCCTGCTGCATGTCAAACTATGTCAGTGTTCGGTTTTGGTCCAACAACAACGTTAATGGTGCAATTGTTAAGGTTAGCACCAACAAGAAAGCCAATATTACCGCTATTTAAAGCGGGAATTCAGGTTGCTTTGACTTGTTTGAGCCAGAATATCTGCCAGTCCAAAGCCAATGCCGAATGAACGTAAGCCCACGCACCCACTATGACGTCACTTGACAACAGTACTGATAGTGGCCCGTCGTTAAGGTTGAGCAGTCCAATATCATTTGCAGCGGCCCGCAAATTTCTGATAATTGGAGGGCCGTTTCATGATAATTCCATGTACTTTAGCTATAAGATGAGGTAGTTTGCTTCCATGGTATAGTGGTACAGGGCTGTAGCTACTTTACATGTGATCAGTATCATAATAATCCTAGACAGGGAAGTGGCTGTATGTTATGTGTTTGTTATTTAAATAGCTTACAAGGTATAATGTATTCATGCATTGTTTGTGTGTTAGAAACCTATTTTTGGAAACACTCATTTGAATATTTCTATTTTTAAACCTACATGATATGCCATGTGGTAGTGAGGGGGTGGGGGTACTTAGCCCCCGGTGTTAGGACCAAGTGTGACTGTCAACTTTTTACATGTCACCATCAGTCTGTTCAATAATCAGGTCATTACTTGTGATTGTCATCATTTTGTGAATCAAAATATATGGTGAAATAAACTATTTTACACTTACTGAAGGAAAAAATATGATGTGCAGCCAAAATGTGTTTTGATATAACCTGTCATTGTCAGTCACTGCTCTATCTGTCAGAGATGAGTCTGTCCTTCCAGACAAAGGTGCACAGGATTCTGTGTTACTGTGGTAACAGTTGACAGGATTCTGTGTTACTGTGGTACCCGTTGACAGGATTCTGTGTTACTGTGGTAACCGTTGACATGATTCTGTGTTACTGTGGTAACAGTTGACAGGATTCTGTGTTACTGTAGTAACAGTTGACAAGATTCTGTGTTACTGTGGTAACAGTTGACAGGATTCTGTGTTACTGTGGTAACAGTTGACAGGATTCTGTGTTACTGTGGTAACAGTTGACAGGATTCTGTGTTACTGTGGTAACAGTTGACAGGATTCTGTGTTACTGTAGTAACAGTTGACAAGATTCTGTGTTACTGTGGTAACAGTTGACAGGATTCTGTGTTACTGTGGTAACAGTTGACAGGATTCTGTGTTACTGTGGTAACAGTTGACAGGATTCTGTGTTACTGTGGTAACAGTTGACAGGATTCTGTGTTACTGTGGTAACAGTTGACGGGATTCTGTGTTACTGTAGTAACAGTTGACAGGATTCTGTGTTATTGTACCTTGGTAACAGTTAAGGCGATACCAGGTTACCTATGTTAGTTGGCAGTATCAGAAGGGCCGAGATCCGTCGCTTTTGGGGTTCGAATCCTGTGAGGCATATTATTTTCTCGTGTTTGCTTTCACCATAAGTAAACCAGCACGACGTGGACAAGCTGCTTAGCGCGCCATTGCTTCAGTATGTTAAACGAATCAAGAATCCGATTGTGAATAAAAATTAAATTTAATCATCGCTAAAAGAACCAAACTGCAATATCACAGAAAGGTGCCCATTCTAGTAGACTAATCTCTATAGAGGACAATCTGTGATGTAACACCGCTTAAAATTTACAAACAAAACATGAAAACATATAAAAGAAGTTATTGCCGCGAAGCTCTGACAAATCACTAAGCCAAGGGAGATAACCGCCATGGCGGCCTGGCAGGAAGGACATTCTTCATCCCAACGACCAGATACAGCCATTGATGTCCACCAATCGGGCCATGCATGTGATAAGTTATATACTGTTGCTTGTGATAACTATAACGATAACACAAATAACGATGTGATAACATGGGTTGGGGAAGCAGCAGGGTCACGTGACGTGTGCTGAGTCTGCGCGTTGAGACCCTGAGGTTTGCTTGTGATCCCTGATATGATCTGCTACGAGAACGTGAACAGAAACACTGCACGACATGTGGAGGTACAAACTCGAATGAAAAATAATATATGTAAAATTGCCATACTAACATTACTTCCTTAACTAAAAACTAAATAGAAATTGTATGTTTAGACTACAAACTATATAACAAACAAACTATACAACAAACTATACAACCCTAAACTTAAAGCTAAACAATCGTAAACTTCCAGAAACACGAAAAATGGAAAATATATCTCAGCTGACAAAGCTGAACGTGAGACCTATCACTACATCAGAGGAATGCGCAGCACCCAGGCTGAGAGGTGACTTTCTTTTCCTTGACTCCCGGAGTAGGGGTGGGTGTCACCGGTGGGGTGGGGGTGGGTAGGTTCACAGGATCAGGGGTCTGCATTTGGATCTCGACTTCAGTTTTAGGATCCTCGAGGATTAGTTGGTGGCTCTGGGTTGGTTCTGGGCTCTCGGCCTTGTCGTTGTTGGCGTTGTCGTCGCTTAGCTCACGTGAGGAAGTATCGTCTGCCTGTGTGAAGAAGGAGATGGCGTTGTGATATGTTGTACCTCCCTCCCTCACTCGCTCAGACACACAACTCCCCCATACCGCAGTGACACACTGTCAGACACATTTACCCTTATAAGTAACATCATTTACCCTTGAAGAATCCCCAACCCTTGATATATTTAAAACCAGCCCAAAAAAACTTTCTTTTCAGAAAGTTCTATCCCCAGTGACTATCTCTTTCCGTGAACTTCCCATGTGTGACTATTGTAGCGTCTTGAGCATGCACCTTGTGGATGGAAGCCAGCACAATACAAATAGACATTATATATAATGATCTGCGACCGGGTATATAATGGGGGACTGAGTATGGTTTATATGTATATATATAATACATTTGTATAGCGCCAATATCCAGCTCAGCTCAGCTGTTTTTCCCTCGATCATAGGATGTCAATCTCAACGCCACATCGTATTTTTCAATTTCAACTCCCTGGGAACATACAACTGTTGCAACTATTTAGGTGCACCGAGTTACTGTGTCTTTCCCATCCTTACGAGGTACCCATTCACAGTACTTTGTCTAAGTTTACTGCACGTTGCTGTACCCGCAACTATAGTTTGGCATGAAATGCATGTGGACCCGTTTTTTGGTAAATATCTCTTCATCCAATGAACCAATCGATCTGAAAATGTGCAAGTGGATGTTCTGTCAGACAACCTAATCACATTGTAAATCACCGATTTTATGCATTTGTATTAAAGAATCTGTCTATGTAACTGTCAACAAAATAAACAGCAGAACGCAGACGGCTTGCAGAGGGAGGGAGCCAATGACCTGTAACTGCGGCAGTGTTGGGTCATAAAGGGAAATGCACGTGCAGTTCATGATAGTTACCTGTGCACTGCACAGTGATAGACCGTTTGGATCATTTACATTGACTACTTCTAGCTGTCATCATGAAAGCTTATTCAGATGATGCTAAACGTTTAATTAGAAATGTGTTGAAGTTTTTTTTTAAAAAGAGAGCAAACGTAGCAAACCAATTTATAAGTTGTCGGATTAGATGAAACTTACAACCTTTGCTCTTGGCATGAAAAAGAACGTGCTAAAAATTGTGAAAAATAAACCAACAACCAATAAACAAAACCTTGTACAAAAAGGTAGGCATCCAAAGTTAGATTCTTTTGACATCAGGGTCATCAGCATAGCTGACCTACATTGACGAACGTTGACCTTTATGACCCAACACTGCAGCTGTTACAGGTCATTGGCTCCCTCCCTCTGCAAGGTATCTGCGTTCTGCTGTTTATTTTGTTGACAGTTACATAGACAGATTCCTTAATACAAATGCATAAAATCGGTGATTTACAATGTGATTAGGTTGTCTGACAAAAACATCCACATGCACAGTTTGAGATCGATTGGGTCATTGGATGAAGAGATATTTACAAAAAACGGGTCCACATGCATTTCATGCCAAAGTTTAGATGTTTGCACGTATTCATCTGGCCACTATCTGGTCATTTACCAACGGAGACGTGGGTTCTTTTAAGTTCACAGGGTTGTGTACTGTATACTAAGGATTGTGACAACACTGAAAGAGTCTACACACAAAGTTGACTCCAAGGTTTTTACACCCGGTCACAGGTGGGCTCGATCCCGGCACCTTAAGCTCGCTGGATCAGTAGCCTGGCGTCTTATATCGCTCGCCCACAGCACCCCTGCTCTAGCAATACTCTAGCAATATTACGCCGGGAAGCACCAGAAATGTGCTTTACACATTATACAGATGTGGGGAATCGAACCAGGGTCTTCAGGCTAAAGGTGTAACCACTATGGGCTATATACGGTGATTGGTGTACCCACTACAGACTCAAATATACATATATACCTCTTTATCGGGTCGCTCTGAAACAGACAAACCGTCTTCAGGCTCTACGGGATGTGCCTCTGCTTTCGGCTTGTCTTTGGGAACCAGGCCTCTGTTCTTGGGAGCCACGTCCACCAGGTACAGATCAGGTTTAGGTTTCTTGTAGAACAACCTTTTCTTCTGATCCATATCTTTCTCAAAAGCTTCCATGTCGGCTGTTTGGAACATCATTCTGACCGCCCGTGAGATCGGGATCCCCTCCTGTCTGTAGGACTCGTTGCATTCAGGCATTTCAAACTCCAGCTGCCGGACCAGTGAGTGTTGACTGAACAGAGGTAGAGGACCACATTTCTCCTGCTCATCTCTCGCCATCAGCCTCATCTGCCGCTTCCCCTGACACACGAGGTACGACAACCGCCATGAGTACTCGCGGAACGATGTGTTCCGCTTGACGGGGCTGAGTCGGGCGATCTCGCCATCTTTGCTCATAGCCACCCGCCATGACGCGATGCCCGTGTCACTGTAGAAGAGGTGGCACTGCTTGAGGTCTAAGGGGACGGTGTTGTTGCCGTTCTGGTTGATGCCGTTATCGCCACGAGGAATTGCAGCGTTGATGACATGGCTGTGTTCGGTGCCGTCAGCTCGCGACGTCAACCAAGGTGCATCCTTCTTGATTGTAGAATGAGAGTTGGTTTCAGGGATGGGCAGACGGTAGGCGTCGCAGAAGCTGGAAATCCTCCTCTCCATCTTGACAGCCGAGACCTTCTTCTCCTCGTGGATCCGCTCGCGTTTTTCTTGTATTTCCGCCGGCGTGGCTGTTGTATGTCTCAAGATGGGAACGTTGACGACGGTGGTGTACGTTCTGCTGACAGTCTTGGCTTGACGTTCCCTCAAGACGGTCAGGCCAGGGTACTTCGCTTCCGGCTTCTTTACCCATATACCTCTGCGAGCGGTAGGGCCGCCGGTCAACTTCCGGTCCGTAACACCTCGTGTTACAGGGGTCTGCATGCTGGAAAGTGTACTATAAATAGAAACAAAAAACTTTGATGTAGAAACACTGACTGACTGACTGAGTTTGGTTTTACGCCGCTTTTAGCAATATTCCAGCAACATCGCGGCGGGGGACACCAGAAATGGGCTTCACACATTGTACCCATGTAGGGATTCGAACCCGGGTCTTCGGCGTGACGAGTCAACGCTTTAACCATGATGTAGAAACAAAGTATGGAGACAAAAGATTAGTGTAAGCCACAGAACCCTACAGCGATGTTATACTACGTAACAGTGGACGAGTGAGTGAGGTTACTTTCATTACTCCATCAATATTATGGCGGGGGACACAGGAAATTGGCTTCACAGATTGTAACCATGTGGGGAATCAAACCCGGATCTTCGACTTGACGAACGAAAGCTTTAACCTCGAGGCTACCCCACCGGCCCTCGTCACAAGATATAAGCCAACGAACAAAACGATAACCCTCAGAGGAAGAGAGTTGGATTTCAGCTTCTTTATTATGAGGAACACAACGTTTCGGGGAATATCCTTACTCTTTCATCAGATCACCCATGAAGGTCCGGGTTAGAATGTGCCTTCACCAACCCATAATTGTCGTAACAGGCGACTAACGGGTTTGGGTGGTCAGGCTCGCTGACTTGGTTGACATATGTCATCGGTTTCCCAATTGCGCAGATCGATGCTCATGCTGTTGATCACTGGATTGTCTGGTCCAGACTCGATTATTTACAGACCGCCGCCATATAGCTGGAATATTGCTGAGTGCGGCTTAAAACTAAACTCACTGACGCAAGTATTCACTCCTTCATCAGGTGGAATATAACCATACCCCTCCTAAACGTTCCATGTCTCACTTCCTCATGTGTATCACTTCTTAACGCCATTCCAAGACCTAATACAACTCTTTTTCTGTTTGTGTCCAAAAGGAGTAGTCGTACAATCGTTAAAGCTACACTCGTGTATTGCTGAATTTGTTTAAAAAGGTTTAGTCTTTTTTTTCTATGTGAAACAAATTTAATATTATTTACTCAAAAAGAGAATCTACTTTAATTATTCTCTTCTATTCATCTATATATTACAAGTGTAAATTTCCTAATATGATTTTACCATCCCAATACACGGGCATATGTGCCAGTACAAGACCAAATGTAAGCATCAAGTCTGGTTATTGTGAACTATTAATTTATTATATTTCATTCAGTTTCCGTCACCATTTTCTCTTAGGTTTTCATTTTGAACCTATCCACAATTACTAGTGTGTAATGACGAGCTTGTTTCATTCGTCTTTGGGTAGACGATTCTGGTTTGAACTATTATAGTAGGAAGGCAAGAATTACCATTATCAATCATGCTCCATCATCCACTGATTGGACCCGTGAAGATCCGGGGTAGAATTGGTCTTCAGCAACCCATTCTTGTCATAGAAGGCGACTGCTTGTCGTAAAAGGCGACTAACGGGATCGGATGGTCAGGCTCGCTGACTTGGTTGACACATGTCATCGGTTCCCAATTACGCAGATCGATGCTCATGCTGTTGATCACTGGATTGTCTGGTCCAGACTCGATTATTAACAGACCGCCGCCATATAGCTGGAATATTGCTAAGTGCGGCGTAAAACTCAACTCACTCACTCACTCACTCATCCACTGATTGCAAAACAGAAGAGTGAGTGAGTATGGTTTTACGCCACTTTTAGCAATATTCCGGCACTATCACGGCGGGGGACACCAGCAATGGGCTTCACATATTGTACTCATGTGGGGAATCGAATGTGCGTGACGAGCGAACGCTGTAACCACTAGGCTACCCCACCGCCCGTCAAACATAAGAAGCAACAGGGTGATATGAAGCAGAGAATGTTCACGTTTCGGATATTAACAAAGAAAACTTGAATATCTCCTTTTTCCAAAAGAATCCAGAAAACCTAACTGTTTTTAATTATTTTGTAACATGGATTGTGAACACTATAATTTTTCTGTTATCTCAAGATATCCGTATGGTTTAACTTTTGTGGATTTTAACAATTTGTAAATAGATTCATAAATAATATATTGATATAATATACTGTTTTACTGAATACGGAATACATTTAATCTTTGGTAATAAATTTAACTTGGTTGATATAACGAAGCAACTGTAGATACACGTTATTCAGAAACATAAACCAAAAGCCAAGAAAATTCAGACTTCTGGAGAATTCGGCTATAATTCACGCGCCGAGATGTCCGCTGAAAATATCAGCTAAGTTGGCACCTAATTGATGGTATTAAAAATAACCATTAAGTTAAAAAACAACAATAATACTATTGTCTATGTAAGTAAGCACCATGAAATACATTTTCTTTGTTTCCTGTTAAATCTTCTACTTACCAGGTGGTTTCTGAGCTCTGCGAAATCCAACCGACTCCCCGATCCTGTCAATGGTGATAGAGAGGGAGGTCATAGGTCACGCATTGTTGATGACGTCATCGATATGGGGTATGACGTCGCCAGCGCGACACGGCTTTTCTTTGTGTAACAACGTCTAATCTCTGGCAAATACCCATGTTTTATCTAAATACATGAAATGATTATGAAAAATCATCATTATATATTTTAAAATATCCTAAACATCTATTGTGTTTTGTTTTATATAGTCGAATATTGCTTAAAGCCACTGCTCACTCACATAAATAGTGTCTCGCATGTGATTATTGTCATAAGTAGATTCTGGTGCTCCTCATGTAAGTGAGTGAGTGAGCTTAGTTTTACGCCGCTTTTAGCAATATTCCAGCAATATCACGGCGGGGGGACACCAGAAATGGGCTTCACAAATTGTACGTATACCTATGTGGGGAATCGATCCCAGGTCTTCGGCGTGACGAGCGAACGCTTTAACGACTAGGCTACCCCACCAACCGTTTCTAATTAGGGGTTTTAGGAGGAAATGTTAAGAGTGGAAGAGTATTGAAAATGGATTCATCTGCTTAGACTTGACATATAACAGTTTGAAAAGCTACTAAAAGCCTGTCGACATACGAAGCTTGCAAGTTACCTTTGTGGCGGTGTGGCGGTGTGGCGGTGTGGCGGTAATTTCTATTTTACTCTTACATGTATGAACTGAATGTATCCCGTCAATAGATGATGTCTCATTAAATTGTACAGAGTTATTTTTACAGGGTTGCATTTATATACAAAAATATCTATTTCACGGAGTCAATAGTTTAGTTGTAAAAATGCGAGATCCACGTGGGGGGTAAAACAGGGGACATAACTCTTGTTTCTGGTCGGGGTGTGGCGGGTGTGGCGGGGTGTGGCGGGCTCTGTGGCAGACAATCCATTGTACCAAAACGTTGCTGTTTTGTCCGTTGTGAAACAGGTCTTTAAGCTATGGATACACACGAAAATAACAATCGATTTCAGGTTTAATTCTGCCTTGATGATGACGTCGTGTCGCTCACTTGGGAGTGTGTAAAGGGAAAGAACGCTGACAAAAATAACTGCGGAAAGCGCCGTAAAATCTCGGACTGTTCAACCATCCCTACGCGTGAGTGAGTGAGTGAGTTTAATTTAACAATATTCCAGCAATACACCAAGAATGGACTGCACACATTGTATCCATGTAGGGAATGGAACCAGGACAAACATTACTTCGCTTACAAAGGCGGGCACCACAATCACCCTCCAAGCCGTGACGTTCACATTGGTCTTCAGCAACCCATGCTTGTCTACCGTGAGGATCCGAGTAAGTCTTCGGCATCCCTTTCATGACGTAAGAAACGACCACGTGATCGGGTGCTCAGGCTCGCTGACCGGATCAGTGCATGTCGAATATCGAAGATCGGTGTTCATGCTTCCAATCACTGGATTGTCTGGTCCAGACGCCATTATCTACAAACTCCCCTTTTTATTGCTGTATAATTGCTAAGGGCGGCGTTAAACAACAAACAAACTAATATACAAACTACGGCCTTCCAGCTTAGAATCCTTTCCCCATCTTACCAAAGCCTTGGCGCCACGAGTATGTTTAGAGTGTTATGTGTTATGCAGGATCTCGACTGTTGAGTGTCTGCAGTACCATGACCCCAGTTGCTGGTCGCGCGATCATTCCGAACATTTGTCTTGTACATGCATATAGACGTGTTCCTCAGTAGCTGCCATTACACTTTTCAACTAGAATACAAAAAAATTTCTCTTGACGGAAGCTAGATGGTAGTGTAGATCCTAAACTACGCGAATTTAGTTGACACGAAAGAGCACGACAAGCATGGGTTACTGAAGATCAATATACTTACCCGGAACTTCACGGGTATGACACGAAAGACCAACGTAAGCCATGTGTATATTTACATGTAAACTTTGTAGTCTACTCCAGACCCTGTTAAACCACCCGTGAATGTCCGGGTTGGAATTGGTCTTCAGTAACTCATGCTTGTCTTAAGAGGCGACTAACGGGATCGGGTGGTCAGGCTCGCTGACCTAGTTGACACATGTCATCGTATCCCATTGTGTAGATTGATGATCATGATGTTGATCACTGGATTGTCTGATCGAGAATCGATTGTTTACAGACCGCCGCCACATAGCTAGACTAATGCTTAGTCCCTGAATATATATAATTTTGATAGTAACAAACAAGCGCATTTAAATTGAAAAGGAGCCCCTGGGAGACCAGAGATTCAGAACTTGAGGAAATCTAGACTTGCTTTATTTAGGGCTTTGGCACTGCAGACAGGGCTTGGCAGTAGGGACAATAATGTGGTTCAGGGACTGTGAGACAGACTACATTGCAGGGAGGGCTTGGCAGTAGGGACAATAATGTGGTTCAGGGACTGTGAGACAGACTACCATATTGCTGGAATATTGCTGAGTGCGGCGTTAAACGACAAACAAACCAACCTTTAGCTGTGGAAGAACGTTGGATGCTCTGAATGTAAGCAAGGGGCATAACTCTGTACAAACGATGTGTCCAAGTACCATTCTGTACATAAAACGGTGTGTAGATATTTAGCTGTAAATCTAAAATATAAATAGGGGCCCAGAGACCCTAATTTGAACAATTCAAGTGATCTAGACTTGCCAACTATTACGGACGTGCATGGATATTATATATTACAGAGGTGGATCCAGAGGGGGTGTGCAGGGGTGCGCCTTCCGTTTGTCCTGAAAGTTTATTAAAAGACCATTGAAACGCCCGTGAAAATGTAGTGTGCACCACCCACCCACCCACCCCTTTCTCAAAAGTGTGCAGCCCCCTTTCTCACAATGCAGTATCCGCCCCTGGATATTAGTGTTGAGAAATGGGTAAAATTGATGATTGGTTCATTACAAACGATCAATCATCGAAAATAATTGGTTAGCATCATTTATCAGATTTTCCTGGTTATGTTTGTATGCACAAAAACATAAAGAAAAAACATGTAATTCTTTGTGTTTTTGGGGGGAAATTGCTCATCTTTACAGGATGACTAGTATGTTAGGAACATAAAGTTATTTGGGGTCTTTAAGATAAATTCAATCATGACTTGGACGAGCTTGTAGTGCTCATGAAATGTATCAGACAAAACCCACCGTGTGAAATACATTGTTAATGCAACAAGTGTTCCAGAATTGTTTGTGTTCGATTATGAGAAAACATGATCGATTGCTTGGTCGTTTAGTCACTGCGACCAATCTTCGATTATTTCAATTAATCGGACCACCACTACTGGATATCGATATTTCAGGATCCGTCCGCCACGCATAACCTCAGATGGAAGCGCCCATACAATCACAGGACACACTCCAACCACAACCTGAACACACTCCAGGACACACTCCAACCACAACCTGAACACACTCCAACCACAACCTGAACACACTCCAACCACAACCTGAACACACTCCAACCACAACCTGAACACACAACGAAACGCGACATTTCATTGATATATTATTTAATATCCGTAAAAAAATATACAAAATTAAACAAATGGAAATATTCCAAATCTGAACCGTGACATCTGACATGTTAACCATGTGGAATATTGAGGCTGCTGTGAGTTCTAACACCATCCTACGAACAAGTGAAGTGCCTCTCATTTTCATTTCTTAAGGAATGTAAAACTGTATCTTTGTTCGGTTGTTGAAATCAAAATACAATGTAATATTCGAACAGCTTATGAGATCGTAGTTGATTGTCTAGCGAGACCATTAAGAAATCCAATCCTATGCATGGAGAGACAATGGGCAGTGCCCTTTCTCACCCGAAAGGTAGTTTTTCACTTGACAAGCGACAGGGAGAGAACGACCATTTTATTCAACTTCCCAACTGCAGCGCCGGAAAGCAAGTACGTTGAAAAACCGCTTACCGTGGTATAATGTGATGGTTGATTCTGGTTACAGCAGTGATGGTTTACTCTGGTTACAAAGACAGGCCCTAGTTACAAAGACAGGCCCTAGTTACAAAGACAGGCCCCTAGTTACAAAGACAGGCCCTAGTTACAAAGACAGGCCCTAGTTACAAAGACAGGCCCAGTTTCATGCGACACAAAACAGGACGCTCAACAGTGACGTCAATTAGGCCGAACAAACAGTAAAGTCCGTTTCTAACATCCCTGACCACTCGTGTCTTTACGGAGCAAACCGTGTAAGGCGGCGAAAACCAACGAGTGATTATGAATTGATTAAAACCGTCATTACTTTTGTAATGGTTACAGGTGGGATACCTTACAGTTTGTGCGACCAGTTGACGAATCAGTTGACCTTCCTTTACCATGTTGGCGACAAGTTTAACAAGAAACCGTTCAATTTAACAAGAAACTTTACACGAAATACACAATGCCATTTAGAAAGTGGTCAAACGTAACATATGTTATATTTGGAATTACACTTACTTTGTAAAGATTCTAGTACTTTTGTTGAGTTGAGTCCCATCCGGGATTCGAACCCACACCCTCAGAGTCAGGCACCTTATCGCCAGGACACAAAGTCAGACGCCTAGACCGCTCAGCCACCGCGGCTTCCCAAATTAACGAAAACAGTAGACCTTACTTTACAGTTTGTGTCATCGGTTTAACGAAAACAGTAGACCTTAGATTATAGTTTAACTGGTTCTACGCAAACATTCAAATTAACTCTGAATTTAAACTTGCGTATATACTGTGTTACGATACTTTAGGATCGGTGATATTTTTCTCTGAGCCATATATTGCAAGATGTTCACGCAGGTAAACCAAACAGGGTGGTATTCAGGGCCGTATATTGCATGATACACCTGCCCGTTAGCTCACCTTACATTGCAGTTAGCTCACCTTACATTGTAGTTAGCTCACCTTACATTGCAGTTAGCTCACCTTACATTGCAGTTAGCTCGTGTTACGTACATAGTAACTTAACGTACAGTTTGTTGAACTCAAACAGTAGACCTTACATGCAGTTTAACCCGATATCTTGGCGAGGTTACATCATGCAGAAACAAAAGCCGTTTCCCCCTTGTAACCGATCCAGAATTAATTGTCTGCCTTCTGTACATTGTAAAACATGATGCGAAGTAAACAATATATTTTGCATCTGTAACTTCAAAAGTGGGGAGTTGAATAATCCCATGAAAGTGAAACTGGGTTTAAAGCATATGTACCGCTTATGATCCAGTGGAAGAACACGTGTAAACTACATCCTCGACGTTCCCATGGTAACACTTGTAAATACATGCATGTCAGTTGATGTAAACTTTATAACGGATGTGCCGATCAATGCTTTTACAAAGTGATCAATGCGTTTGATACCGATCAATGCGTTTACATACCGATCAATGCGTTTACATACCCGATCAATGCGTTTACATACCGATCAATGCGTTTATATACCGATACCGATCAATGCGTTTACATACCGATCAATGCGTTTACATACCGATCAATGCGTTTACATACCGATCAATGCGTTTACATACCGATCAATGCTTATACATACCGATCAATGCGTTTACATACCGATCAATGCGTTTATATACCGATCAAAGCGTTTACATACCGATCAATGCGTTTACATACCGATCAATGCTTATACATACCGATCAATGCGTTTACATACCGATCAATGCGTTTATATACCGATCAAAGCGTTTACATACCGATCAATGCGTTTACATACCGATCAATGCGTTTACATACCGCTCAATGCTTTTACATACCAATTAATGCGTAGGCATACTATACATGCACGTACCGATCTGTGCGTATACATACCGATCTATACGTACACGTACGGATCTATGCATGCACGTACGGATCTGTGCGTATACGTACCAATCTACGCATGCACGTACGGATCTATGCGTATACGTACCAATCTATGCAGGTACGTACGGATCTGCGTATACGTACCAATCTACGCATGCCCGTACTGATCTGTGCGCATACGTACCGATTTATACGTACACGTGCATGCACGTTTAATCTCACAACTCATGTAATCTACTGTGTGGAATGATTCTTTGGTATTGTATTGGAATAAGATGATAAACCTAGGGATGACGTCATTAATATCCATCTGGTGCCCCGAACTTCCGGATGTCACTGGCGGCGTGCAGCATGCTTCCGGTCACGTGAATCGCATTGACAACTGAGCCCGGATTGTCGAGGGTAAAATTGTGGCCTTTGGCCTTTAATCCATCCAAAATTTCCTGCAAATGATAAAAATTAAACATAAATCATAAAATACATAAGATAACGAAAATATACTGTACATATCTTTTCGTCCTTATGAACCTAATTCACGTGTCTTGGATAGCCAAGCCCTGCGTCAGGGTTTCGGCATGTAAGACTGGAAGTGTTCGCTTGAGGGCATGTTGGACGTGTTCGAACCTAGACCAAGACAGGCTGAAGAGATCAGTCCCATATATGTACGGCAACAAGTGAACCATATCGGCCCCTTGTGTATTTTGATTGGCTGGTTTAATGTTTAATGCCGTACCCAGCAATATTCCAGCTATATGGCGACGGTCTGTAAATAATCGAGTCTGATCCAGACAATCCAGTGATCAACAGCATGAGCATCGACCTACGCAATTGGGATACGATGACACGTGTCAACCAAATCAGCGAGCCTGACCACCCGATTCAATTAGGCTTCTCTTACGACAAGCATGGGCTACTTAAGACCAATTCAAACCCGGATCTTCACGGGTCTTGTGTATTTAGAAGTGAGTTGGGTTTTACGCCGCTTTTAGCAATGTTCCAGCAATATTTCGGCGGTGGACACCAGAAATGGGCTTCACACATTGCACCCATATGGGGAATCGAACCCGGGTCTTCTGCATGGCGCGAACGCTTTAACCACTAGCCTACCGCCCGCCATCTTCGGGTAGGTCGGATGGTTCTACAGGTGGGTATAAACTAGACACAACCCACACTCAGTCACGTAGTGGAGTCGGAAACGCAATTCATATCCTCATCCATGCCCGTGGCTGGAAATCCGGGAAAATAGGTCCTCATGTAGAAACTTATCTAACCATATTTACCTCACTCACTCGATAACTGATGCTCATACCATCACTCACAGGTTTGCCTGCTCCATACCGGATCTTGTAACAGATCAATATCAATGTTACCAATAACGATGTATGTTACACATTAGGGACCCTGTGTGACTGTACCTGGGGAAATCCCTTCTCTACACTGAGGGTCTTGGGCAGCAGCTGATGGTGTAGGCGTCTGCTGTCGATGGCGTCCCCGACAGGCAGCCCGAGCCGGAGGGTGTACAGACTCACCTAGAGGAGGAACCAGGGACAGGTGTGAGTCATCAATAACGGTCTCTGTTCTGCATCACAGACAAGGTAGTGACGGGTGGAGAACGAGGATGGTATAATACTGATGCAGCTGATGGATGGACACTAATCGTAATGTTGTCAAAATATCTTTACACCATTCATGTTTATAGCTGTGAATAAAATATATATATTGATGCTCTCCGGCTTTGAAAATGCTGTCCTAATAATTAAGGGAGCGTTATGAAAAATTACGAAGTTCGATATAACAAGATCGATCACACTGCCCAACAGTAGGCTACTCACACCCATGGTAACGCAAGAAACTACGCTTGTAACGAACTGACAGATATAACGAACCGGCCAATTGCTCCATACATAGGCACAATGCGTATGTCGAACTACGGTTGTGACTCACTAAGGCAGTGGTAGCATTGAGTTAGTTATTAACGTAGGTTACTGTAGATCCCTATACACAGCTATGTGGGTTATTCCAAGCTATCGGCAGCAACACCATCATCATGATCACCATCAGCATCATAATCTTACCAGCATGGTAGAGGTTGTGATCTTGGTGCCTCCTGCCGCCCCGACTGCCAGCACAACGTCTCCGGTGTTGTTGTCGACGACGATGCTGGGACACATCGACGACAAGGGGCGTTTTCTAGGAACGATAAAATTAGCGGGAGATGCCGGCACGCCGAAGTAGTTGACCTCCCCGGGTGTTGAGAAGTCGTCCATCTCGTTGTTGTAGGCGATGCCCGTGACGTTGCCGCGTACCTTGGAGCCGAAACTGACAACAGAATAACACACGATATAATGGTGAGCGAACCCTAGTTAATCCTTAACATATTAACCATAATTTATACTGACTAGGTGACGTGATAAAATCAAATCAAATCAAATTCGACATTTGTAAAGCGCTACATATCCAGAGTCCTGCTCATGTGCGCTTAGTCGAATGCTCGTTTGAAGAGGGTGGTTTTGAGACAAGGTCGGAAACTGTTGATATTTTCTGATTTTCTGACATTTTCAGGTAATCCATTCCAGAGTACGACACCCGCTCTGCTGAATGATCTGTCCCCGTATGTTGTGGTTCGGACAAATGGAACATCTAAGCTTTGCTGTTTAGCTGATCTGAGTGACCTTCCAAGCTTGTGAATGTTGACTAGTTCCTGGAGATAGAATGGAGCAAGCCCATTAATGGACTTGTAAACAAACACAAGAAGTTTGAATACAACTCTGTCTTTTACAGGGAGCCAGTGTAAGTCCTTCAGGACTGGTGTTATGTGCACATACATATGTGTGCATGTTATGAGCCTGGGAGCTGTGTTTTGAACACGCTGTAACTTGTCCATGCACTTCTGATGAGTAGACTGTTGCAGTAGTCCAGATGTCACAAATGCATGGGTTAGGCATTTTACTGATGGTCTGTCCATGTACCTGCTAATCTGTCTGATGTTAATTAGGTGGTAATAAGCAGATTTGCAGATGTTACTGACGTGATTTCCCATGCTTAATGTTGAGTCAAAGATGACACCTAGATTTCGAGCATGGCTTTCTGGTTGAACAAACGTGTCTCCAATTTGAACTCCAGGGACCTTGAACTTTGATTTTGTCTGTTGGGAGCTGATGATGAGAATCTTAGTTTTGTCATCATTCAATTTCAGAAAATTACTGTTCATTCAACATTTGATCTCAGCTATGCAATTTGTTATTGCCAGCAGGGTATTCTGTACAGAAGATGCGGTTTGTGGCTTGAATCCGTGATATAGTTGAGTGTCATCAGCATAGAGATGATAGCTGAGATTGTGGGCTCGGGCTATATCACCAACGGGTATGGTATATACAGTGAACAGGATTGGGCGTAGGACTGAGCCTTGTGGCACTCAAACCTTAATTCTCTGTTCTCAGACCTAACCCCATCGATGATAACTGATTGCTTGCGTCCTGTGAGATACGATTGAAACCATGATAACGCATCGCCAGTGAATCCATGACGTAACTGTAGCGTTTCCAAGAGAGTGGAATGGTCTATTGTGTCAAATGCCGCTGATAGATCCAAGAGGACAAGAATTGCCGCTCCCTTGGAAAAAACAGCATGCAGAAGGTCATTCTGCACACGCAGCAAAGCTGTTTCTGTGCTGTGACCTATTTTGTATGCTGACTGCATGATATCACCAAGATTGTTGTCCAGGAGGTGTTGTTTCAGTTGGTTTGCTACAACACGCTCTATCAATTTGGAAATGAATGGCAGATTTGAAACTGGACGATAGTCCTAAAGACATTTGGTTTCAATGTTGGCTTCTTTAAAAGAGGTGTTATTAGTGCTTCCTTCAGTGACGATGATACCTGGCATTGACTTAGTGACTGGTTCACTATGGATGTAATAGTTGTTATGACGGCCTGTGGGCTGTTTTCCATAAGCCATGTTGGACAAGGATCGAGAGAACACGATTTAGTTGGACTTTTTTGCAATTAACATACTGATCTCTTTCTCAGTGGTTGGTGCAAAGCATGTCAAGTGAGTATGTACAGATATGACTGTCTCCTCACGAGCTGCACAGAGCGCACATTGGTCGCGAGATGTGCTCAAGATGTTTCTGATGTTGAGAATCTTGTCCGTGAAGAAACTGATGAAGGAAGAGGCTAACTTCCCAGTTGATGAATGAGAAGGAAGTGCTCGTTGTTTGTTCTTGAAGAGCAACTGGTTTCCAACCTGGAAAACTTCTTTTTGATTTTTTGCCTCATTCAGTTTGGATGTGAAGTAATTTCTCTTTGCATCTTCAATTAGTTTGTTCACTTTGTTGCGTTGTTCAGCATGTATCTGACGATCAATGGTCAGTTGTGTTTTCCTCATTTTCCTCTCCAGTTTCCGTCGCTTTTGCTTGGCTGATCTTATGTCGCCATTGTACCAGGCACTTTGTTTGTGCAAGGTTACTGTCCTTGTGTTTTGTGGAGCATGCCTATCCAGTATGTCACTGAGATCTTGGTTGTAGGTGTTAACTGCATCCGGCAATGAGTCTGACGTTACTGAATCGAGTGATGACTTAACATCGGCTGTGAAGGAATCAGTATCGATATCCTTCCATTTTCGGCATTTGATTCGAATGGTTAATCGTTGGAGATTGTGAAGATTTGTGGAACAGAGTAAACCAACATGGTCGGACAGAACAGAGTGGTAATAGATGAAATCATAAACATTTATTTTATGGGCCCTTGTAATCAATAAGTCTAAAGTGTGTCCATTCTTGTGAGTTGGGTGGATAACGACCTGGACGAGTTTTTTTGATTTCAGCAAGAAGTTCAGTTGTTTGGCGTTGTTGTCATTTGTTTTGTCAACGTGAATGTTGAAATCTGTACAAATGATAAACTTTCCGCCCTGGTTGTTCAACTTGTCAGTGAAGTCTTCAAATTCTGTGAAGAATGTGCTTATTAGATTTGACTACAGTTGACGAGTACCCCCTTTGAGCCTCTGTGTGTTTGTGAAACACCATAAATGTTAAGTTGTTTTAAGCTATTATAAACAATTTCAGGTACCCTTTTGGTGGCAGTCTCACTGAGTGCCTTTAACTCAGAAGGCAGGTGAGTGATTGGTCCCATTGTTACATATACACATACAAGTAGAGAGCACAAAAAATGTAAGCCGTATTCCACTGTTTGGAGGTTAGACACACAAAAGGCTTCAATCAATCCATGTACACAACTGAGATAAAATGTCAACTTCTGAAATGTAGAATACTCTGTATGTTGGATGTAAATCCAGTGATGAGTAATGTAGATGATCCAGATACTTGACACACTGTTCGAATGCTCCCTTGAGGTGTGAGACACGTCTTGTCAGAAGTGCATAACATATGCAAATTTCAGATTTTCTTCAGAGCCTGTGATATAGACACCATACTGACAAGGTGGAGTGATATAGACGTTATACTGACTAGGTGGAGTGATATAGACGTTATCCTGACTAGGTGACGTGATATAGACGTAATATTGACTAGGTAACGTGATATAAACGTTATATGGACTAGGTAACGTGATATAGACACTATACAATACTGACTAGGTGACGTGATATAGACGTTATACTGACTAGGTGACGTGATATAGACGTTATATTGACTAGGTGACGTGATATAAACGTTATACTGACTACTGAGGTATACGTGATACCGACTAGGTACGTGTACAATACTGACTAGGTGACGTGATATAGACGTTATACTGACTAGGTGACGTGATATAGACGTTATACTGACTAGGTGACGTGATATAGACGTTATACTGACTAGGTGACGTGATATAGACGTTATACTGACTAGGTGACGACTAGGTGACGTGATATAGACGTTATACTGATGACTGACGTGATATAGGTTATACTGACGGTGATATATAGACGTTATACTGACTAGGTGACGTGATATAGACGTTATACTGACTAGGTGACATGATATAAGATGTTACGTGATATAGACGTTATACTGACTAGGTGACGTGATATAGATGTTATACTGACTAGGTGACGTGATATAGACGTTATACTGACTAGGTGACGTGATATAAACGTTATACTGACTAGGTGACGTGATATATAACGTTATACTGACTAGGTAACGTGATATAGACGTTATACTGACTAGGTGACGTTATATAGACGTTATACTGACTAGGTGACGTGATATATAGACGTTATACTGACTAGGTGACGTGATATAGACGTTATACTGACTAGGTGACGTTATATATATAGACGTTATACTGACTAGGTGACGTGATATAAACGTTATATACTGACTAGGTGACGTGATATAAACGTTATACTGACTAGGTAACGTGATATAGAGGTTATACTGACTAGGTGACGTGATATAGATGTTATACTGACTAGGTGACGTGATATAGACGTTATACTGACTAGGTGAAGTGATATAAACGTTATACTGACTAGGTGACGTGATATAGACGTTATACTGACTAGGTGACGTGATATAGACGTTATACTGACTAGGTGACGTGATATAGACGTTATACTGACTAGGTGACGTGATATAGACGTTATACTGACTAGGTGACGTTATATAGACGTTATACTGACTAGGTGTTGATGGTAGATGTTATAGCAACAGCGTTGCCCTGAGCGTCTATGATTGAAGTGTGCGTCGTCCCCGTCTTGGTGCTGTCGTAGTACGTAGGGCCGTAGTAGTCGGTGTCCTGCGTTCGGAAGTCGTTTATTTGAGCCCGAATGGAATCGGCATAGTCGCGGGATGTCATGTTCTTTATCAGCTGAAGAGGAATAGGCTTATAATGTTAAAACCAGGCGAGGTCATGCCGTTTCACACCTCTTCCAAGCAGACTCAATGCACATATTACACACATCACATGTCACAACACTATGGGCAAGACCCAGGCAGTGCCAATGCATACTTTAGTGCTGGTTTTCGCGTAACAAACCTGTGTCATATGTGGAATTTCTGATATATTTCGTCTGAAATATAGTCTAGGTAATTACTGATTCTTACCCTTCAAATATTTAGTACCGTAGATAACATTGCATTATATAATGGATAGAAGTACTGATAATGCTATTATCTGCTGAATATGTTGTTGATATTTTGCTCTGTGTGGCTTTCTGGTTATTTGTCACCCATGACCTTTCACCTCTTTCACTAACACATGACCTCTCACCCCTGCCACAAACACTTGACCTCTCACCCCTACCACGTATGACCTCTCACCTCTGTAACATCAACAAAGTCCTCGTCTCCGAGATCCGTTCTCTTGGCGTACGCAAACTTCATGGCTTCCACGATCCGGTGATATGTCAATACGCTTTTCTCATTGGTCGACAGGCTGTCGGGCGTTAAGCCGTAACCTAGCAACACCACAGCACATAATGAATGTGTGTCATGACATTGTGTGTCGTTAATGTACGCCTGCATTAATCCAAAATATTCACATAGCAGTTTCAGATTCCTTAACCATAGACACCGGTCTTTCTAATCCGGAGGTTCTTGTTGTTTACAAACAGGAATAATACTGACAGTCAGGTTCAAGTGCCCGGACTACTTACCGTCCAGAATGTTCATGATGTATTCATACACAGCGCCGCTTCCAGGTGGCGGGACAGAGAACAAGGTCAGGTTGTCTCTCATGGTCACTGACAACGGCGTCCTCCAGGTGGCGTTGTACTGGTTCAGATCTTCCCGGAGATTATTCCGCCTGTGGTTCAGACAGTTCAGATCAAGTTAATCCCACTGCTGGGCTGTGATTTCCGGGTTCAGTATAGGTCGACACAACGTGTCTTATCACATATATGGTTGTACTATTATTTACAACACTCACATCACGTTCTCCTTTGTAACGAAAGGCTGAGTGTAACCAAGAATGTTACATTTATGCTGCAACAATCATATATTACCATATGAAATCGGTGTCAGATGAACCTGCTGAGGTGGTAGGAAAATATGCAAATCCGGCGACTTCTTAAATATCATACTTAGAGAATAACCAACGAGGTACCAGTGATTACGGGAAATATGCCCGAGTTGAAATAATGTTCACAATGCCGAGCCTTGGGAAATATGCCCTCGTTAAAATAATGTTCAGTGCCTCGCAAAGGCTCGGCACTGAACATTATTTTAACGAGGGCATAATCACTCGTACCTCGTTGGTTATTCTATTTATTACCCATAATGTAATTTAAAAGGAAGAACCACGAAATAAAAACCACCCGGAGACAGGACTTGTGACCTTAAACAGCTGATTCGTATTCATGCGCGTATTAAACCTAACTTCTCCAGCGGTAATAACATAACTACGCTATGGAAATAGTACATCATAAAATCGCTTTAAAATACAACAAAATTATTATGCCTGGAATAATTAATTAACATTTGTTAATATGATAAAAATGATCTTTTAAATATATCATTGAACTTAATAAGAGCTAAACATTTATTCGATCAAGACAGCGCGACGGAACATCGTTCATTCACGACTGACGTGTTTTCTAGTGACGGGTGACGGTGTAGTGTTGAAACACACTCTGGCGAAAACCTGTCAATTTTCGTGAAAGTCAACGGTTAAAAGTTGGGAAATCTAAAAGACAACCATCCCACGAATACATCTAGAAAAAGTTTTCTGTCAAGAAACTCAACAAGTTTGAAGATTAAACAACATTTTGTTCTGTGGAAGGCGTGTTACACTCTCGTCTTAGTAGAGTACAGCAGTTCCAAGAAGGATAACTCTAGTCGGAATCCGAGTCTATAAAATGTGTCAATCTCTGCATCGGCCACTGGGACCAACCTCTCGGATTGATTAGGAATGCATGGATATAAAAAGTCATCTTGAAGACGAACACTGACTAGCACTGATTCCGGTAAGAAAGGAGCTGTTTTCTTGTGAGATGGCATGGACGCCGTGTCCGACTTACTTGTTACACTTTCAGATAACATCTTTAGTCGGTATCTTGCTGTTTCTATTTCAACAACAAACAGGTTTGGGGAATTCAAGGGCTGTAAAATTCTTATCACTCTTCCTATTTGGTCACCGTCAACTTTAACTAGGTAAGTGACCTTGATCGGGGTTAGCCTAACGGCGGCCATATTTGTTTACAAACAATGCAAACGATTGTTTGGTGGGTTTTGTAAAGATTATAATTTAAAAAGACTACTATTTATAACGCATTTTCATTCCAAAAAAATAAGGTCTAATAAAAAGGATATTCATATTCTTTAACCTTAATGTTTTCTTTTTTAGATCTCGGACTGTGTGATTACATTACTTAATGTCAATTTATCAATGAATCGATGAAACTTTAATAAATGAACGTAGTGTGTGAAAGTAGTTCCGGCATCCAATGAAAAAGTACAAATATACGATTAACCAATCAACGTCGAGAATCACTAAATTGCACACTGCAAATATCAAAAAGATATTACACGGGATCTCCTCACCCGTATGGGTAATAAAGGGATATCTCCTCCCTCTACACAATATTCCGCTGATGTTCGTGATGATGTGTATCATAATGTGTGGGTGTTTCAGTTGTCAAACATGTCAGTAGATCGTTCTACATATATGCAGTATATGATTAATGGGGCGGATGAAGGGCTATAGATCCAGTGGTGTGACATTGGTGTGCTTTATTTGGTTTACGATTTTGACGATTACATGCCACCAGTCAAGACGGAATTATATTTTGTCAGCTGTAATGATTGTGTAACATTGTTAACGATTTATATTACTGCAACATCGTCAACGTTGGCTGCCGAACCCTAACAACTCGGCCACGGTGGAATTACTGGTGGTATAAGTGTGTGGATTGGAATATGAATTTTCTGGTTGTGACCTGTTTTCATTCAGTGTTTGTCAATCTGTATTTGTATTGCTTATTAACGTCGCTACCAGTCTAACCATATCGCTGTATTTCGTCGACGATGATGTCGGTGAGGATGCCGTTGTAGAAGGCAGACTCTCCGTCCTCGGCGATGGTGTCCAGCGTGTCGGCCAGCATGGGAAGCTTCACCTTCTCACCCACCTTGACCGGCTCCCCTGTCGTGGCGTCGAAATACATCCTGAAACACAAATATGTTTTTAACTTTTCAACGAAACAATGGTCTCCTTTCACATGAAGCTCGCCATATAGCTGGAATATTGCCGACTGCGGTGTTAAACAACACTTAAAATTCAAATCAGGTTGAGAGAAGTCCATGACGATCGATGGCCTTCTGCAAGTATGTGGAATTTGAGTCGCAGTGGGCGATGACTAGTTGTAATATACTCAATGTCAAAAGTTATGGTTACGCACAAACAACCGACAGAATCAATGTGAAACGTTTGGTGCGGCGACTGTTATGTTTTTACATGGAAAGATGTTTCAAGTTATGACCATCAGTCCATACGAACAGCGCACTTGGCGGAGTTCCTGCAGCGCTGTTGGAGGATGACGTTGCAAACGTCGCCCCATTCCATTTTAGACATGTTCAAAAGGTAATAAATCAGGGGGATCGTGCGTTCGTTTCCCTCAATCACAACCACCGGCATTCTTGCTGCAGGTGTTATCCGGCACCAGATCACAACGCCCCATCCAGAACACATGGCCTGATGTAACGTTCAACTGTAGACTGTAGACACGTGTCCTGATGTAACGTTCAACTGTAGACTGTAGACACGTGTCCTGATGTAACGTTCAACTGTAGACTGTAGACACGTGTCCTGATGTAACGTTCAACTGTAGACTGTAGACACGTGTCCTGATGTAACGTTCAACTGTAGACTGTAGACACGTGTCCTGAGACACGTGTCCCGATGTTACGTTCAACTGTAGACTGTAGACACGTGTCCTGATGTAACGTTCAACTGTAGACTGTAGACACCTGTTATTGTTCAACTGTATGTAACGTTCTGTAGACTGTAGACAGGTGTCCTGATCTCAGCTCGGCGATGGACCTCGATTCACTCATGTAGTGAGTGAGTATGGTTTTACGCCGCTTTATATCACGTCCTGGGACACAAGAAATAGGCTTCACAAATTGTGCCCCATGTGGGAATCGAACCCGTGTCTTCGGCGTGACGAGCGTACGCTTTAACCACTCGGCTACCCCACCGCCCCATCTCACTCCACGTACATTCCGTGCAATTACACCAACTGTTTGGTTGCATTTCTTCGACCATTTTATCACACACTGTCATTCACAAGATTACCACTGAAAAATCCATGTCACAATAATGTTTGTCCCTGAGTATAATTGCATAACTCTTGTCGTGTAAACTATTGCTTGTTTCATGTCCCATGTTAGTTAGCGCATACGTGGAGGAGGATGTCGTGTGCCGGTTTTGGTTCACTTACGTATTGAAAAAGTCGTGAAATGTACCTTACGGGTTTGTGGTTCACTTACGTATGGGAGAAGTTCTTGAGAAGGTCGGGGTACCGGTTGATGGCCACTGACAGAGGTTTGTAGACGGGCACCCCCTCCCGACACAGTTTGATGGCGGGCTGGAAGAGATCCCTCCATGGAAGACGGCCATAACGCTGGTGCGCCTCCCAGTATCCCTTGATCTCCCCGGGGACCGCGATCGCCAGTCCACCTGCACAGGAATCACTTCATGTAAAGACTTAGGAGATCCATCTGCACATAAAACACTTGACAATGAAGGCTCGGGTGGTCCTGTTGTCTAAGATAACGACCTTCATCGTGCACCATAGCTACCTTAGGGCCTATCAGACACCTATGATTTAGGGTTCGAATCCCAGAATCCCATTCTCTCTGATGACAGCTTGATGTCTGTCAAGGTTTCAGCCAAGTGGTGTCCGTACACAAGAAGCTGACATGCTGTTCAGACTCAAACCTCCCTCACTCCCTCACCATGCTGACAGTGGGATATAAATAGATCAAGTGTGTGGTCAACTCACCCAGGGTGGAGGTCAAACCGTCGGTCCTGTTGATGTACATGGTCTGGTTGGCCAGTATTGGCGCCCGCTCACGGGCATCTAGGACATGAACTGTTTCCGAAGTTCTGGGACAAAATTTTACCTCAGTCAATTTCTACGAAATTCATTTGCAATTTGCAAAGTACATCTTCGTTGTAGGCTGCTGCCATAGTGGGTGACTAACATTTCACAAAGAACACTCCCTCAGACACCCTGTTGTAGATCTTCATGAAGAACACCCACACTCAGTGACACCCGCTTGTCGTAGATCTTCATGAAGAACACCTATCCTCACAAACACCCTGTTGTAGATCTTTTGGAGAACACCCACCCTCACAGACACCTTGTTGTAGATCTTCTTGGAGAATACCCACCCTCACAGACACCCTGCTGTAGATCTTCTTGGAGAACACCCACCCTCAAAGACACCCTGTTGTAGACACCCACCTGTTGTAGATCGTCATGAAGAACACCCTCCCTGACACCCACCTGTTGTAGATCGTCATGAAGAACACCTTCCCTGACACCCACCTGTTGTGGTAGATCGTCATGAAGAACACCCTCCCTGACACCCACCTGTTGTAGATCGTCATGAAGAACACCCTCCCTGACACCCACCTGTTGTAGATCGTCATGAAGAACACCCTCCCTGACACTCCACCTGTTGTAGATCGTCATGAAGAACACCCTCCCCTAACACCCACCTGTTGTAGATCGTCATGAAGAACACCCTCCCTGACACCCACCTGTTGTAGATCGTCATGAAGAACACCCTCCCTGACACCCACCTGTTGTAGATCGTCATGAAGAACACCCTCCCTGACACCCACCTGTTGTAGATCGTCATGAAGAACACCCTCCCTGACACCCACCTGTTGTAGATCGTCATGAAGAACACCCTCCCTGACACCCACCTGTTGTAGATCGTCATGAAGAACACCCTCCCTGACACCCACCTGTTGTAGATCGTCATGAAGAACACCTTCCCTGACACCCACCTGTTGTAGATCGTCATGAAGAACACCCTCCCTGACACCCACCTGTTGTAGATCGTCATGAAGAACACCCTCCCTGACACCCACCTGTTGTAGATCGTCATGAAGAACACCTCCCTGACACCCACCTGTTGTAGATCGTCATGAAGAACACCCTCCCTGACACCCACCTGTTGTAGATCGTCATGAAGAACACCCTCCCCTGACACTCCACCTGTTGTAGATCGTCATGAAGAACACCCTCCCTAACACCCACCTGTTGTAGATCGTCATGAAGAACACCCTCCTGACACCCACCTGTTGTAGACGTCATGAAGAACACCCTCCCTGACACCCACCTGTTGTAGATCGTCATGAAGAACACCCTCCCCTGACACCCACCTGTTGTAGATCGTCATGAAGAACACCTCCTGACACCCACCTGTTGTAGATCGTCATGAAGAACACCCTCCCCTGACACCCACCTGTTGTAGATCGTCATGAAGAACACCCTCCTGACACCCACCTGTTGTAGATCGTCATGGGGAACACCCTCCCTGACACCCACCTGGTGTAGATCGTCATGAAGAACACCCTCCCTGACACCCACCTGTTGTAGATCGTCAGCGGGAACACCCTCCCTGACACCCACCTGTTGTAGATCGTCATGAAGAACACCCTCCACCTGTTGTAGATCGTCATGAAGAACACCCTCCCTGACACCCACCTGTTGTAGATCGTCCCAAAGAACACCTCCCTGACACCCACCTGTTGTAGATCGTCATTAAGAACACGTACTCTGACACCCACCTGTTGTAGATCGTCATGAAGAACACCCTCCCTGACACCCACCTGTTGTAGATCGTCATGAAGAACACCCTCCCTGACACCCACCTGTTGTAGATCGTCATGAAGAACACCCTCCCTGACACCCACCTGTTGTAGATCGTCATGAAGAACACCCTCCCTGACACCCACCTGTTGTAGATCGTCATGAAGAACCCTCCACCAATCCCGGCGCTGTGACGATGTACCAGCCCTGTACACAACATGGAGGCGATGGCGGCATCTACAGCCGATCCACCCTGGCGCGCCATGATGGTCCTGGAAACGAAAGAAACATTCACATGAAGATAATCATCGACACACATGAGATGTGGGACTGTGAAGGAAGTGCACCAGTCGTTCTAACGTCTTCAATTAGTTCACGGAACAACGGCATACGCAATATTCCCGCTATAATTCAGTGAATGACGTCATAGCCAACGGTGACGTCAAGATTAATTGTTTGTGTGCTCTAGGTTATGGACAGGTCTCACGTAAATGAGATATATCAATCAGTCGCTGGAGAAATATACAGAGAAATGTACATCACCCCCACCTGTTCATATAACACCCCACAAAGCTGGATTAAAGAGTACTAGACTACATTTTAGAGTGTGTACCACTCCAGAAAAATTCAGGACTAGAACTATGCGAGGCGGTACATCAGGAATGGGCGTTAGACAGTGTGGTTGGGTACAGAACAGAACCCGTGACCATAGGCCCCCACTGCGGGTCAGAAAATCGATGAATTAGGCTCCGGTTTTAGTATCCACGCCCCTACTATATAATATGTAAAGTTTCATCTCAGAAATACGGTGACATGATCGAAAACCGAACAATTACGCACACGTCAATGACTATATCGTATTTTTAAGGTCTCACAAGTATCAAAAGCTTTTGTCCATATCTCCGATGTATGTAGGAGGCATGTACATGCGCTTTTCGTGGGGATACATTTTATGTTTTTTATTAAATCCCCAAAGACCGAGTTGCTGTGCCGGAAGTATACAAAACTAGGATCGTCTGCGCCATCAAATTGGTTAATAAAATGACAACAAATGCACGTGGGAAAACGAGAGGGAAACTCAAACGTCTTTCATCCAAGATGTCACGATCTGATGTTTTATCTTGATAAAAATAATTTTAAAACGAATAAAAATATTAGAATGAATAGAAACACATTCATTCAGTGTAATGTGTTAGCCAATCAGATCGCCGGAGGTAGTGAAGTCAAGCGCTGACGACCTAGGTTTGTATACTTCCGGCACAGCAACTCGGTCTTTGGGGATTTAATAAAAAACATCAAATGCATCCCACAGCCTGCTACATCACATTGGAGCATGGGCCATATGGACACACTGTAGTCTTCACACAAACAGCCAGTCTCTGTTCTCAAGGCTCTCTACTTGCATGCTTTCTATCTTGGTCTATGAAGTTCATTTACTTGCATTACTAAGAATTGTAAATTCAGTTGATAACTACATTACAACTACAGTGTGGATGATTGCTACTTACGTGCCTATCTCGGAACATATTTTGGAATCTGATGCAACTGAAGCAAATCTGTATGTGCCTGTTGCCGACTGCGCCTCCTCCACTGATGGTGTGGCGGTTGTTGGTGTCGCCGTCAAATCATCCTCATCGTCTCTCAGAGATCTCAGGCCCAAACCCAGACCTAGGGCGCGGGCCAAGCGCCACCAGTACTGCACCGGCGAGGATTGCGTAGATTATAGACCTTGACGCGGGCCTGGTAGGAAATAATTACCATGTTCCATGAAAGGCAACCTATTTGCCGCTATCCTTGCAACCATCAGCAAGCGCTACACTCTTGCGACACAACCTTGCAACCATCAGCAAGCGCTACACTCTTACAACACAACCTTCCAACATTGGCAAAGCGCTACACTCTTGCGACACTTCCAACCAACCCCAAGCGCTACGCTCTTGCGAGATAACCTTACAACCAACACCACTATTTTCTACAAGTAATCACCATGCGTAGAACCATTTTACATCACAACAATAATGTAAAAGGGACATTAAGACTCCTCCCTTTAAAACCATTGACTTTATTTTAGAGGAATTTTGCAGAGTTAGCTCACGATGTATGTACTCCCTGAACACACAAAACCAATCATACGAACAAAACACAAAACAATAACAACTTAACAACTTCACATATTGGATACTTAATCACGAATACAAACTAAATAAATAAATACATGTACACAACAATGCGAAGTCTTGAACAATAATGCCACTCAGTCTCCGCCCATTTTATTTCCAGCCAATCAGAAAACAGTATTTAAAGGCGTGGCCTGATATTTGTCAGTGTATAGTAACATGAAGATTTGCTTGCATGGAGTGACTTGACACATTGATCCTGAGTCCTAATCCTGGTTTACACTCACAGTTGTGTGTAGTAGGTAACAATATCAGACTTGACACACTGATCCTGAGTCCTACTCCTGGTTTACACTCACAGTTGTGTGTAGTAGGTAACAATATCAGACTTGACACACTGATCCTGAGTCCTAATCCTGGTTTACACTCACAGCTTGTGTGTAGTAGGTAACAATATCAGACCTGACACACTGATCCTGAGTCCTACTCCTGGTTTACACTCACAGCTGTGTGTAGTAGGTAACAATATCAGACCTGACACACTGATCCTGAGTCCTACTCCTGGTTTACACTCACAGCTGTGTGTAGTAGGTAACAATATCAGACCTGACACACTGATCCTGAGTCCTACTCCTGGTTTACACTCACAGCTGTGTGTAGTAGGTAACAATATCAGACCTGACACACTGATCCTGAGTCCTAATCCTGGTTTACACTCACAGCTGTGTGTAGTAGGTAACAATATCAGACTTGACACACTGATCCTGAGTCCTACTCCTGGTTTACACTCACAGTTGTGTGTAGTAGGTAACAATATCAGACTGACACACACTGATCCTGAGTCCTAATCCTGGTTTACACTCACAGTTGTGTGTAGTAGGTAACAATATCAGACTTGACACACTGATCCTGAGTCCTAATCCTGGTTTACACTCACAGTTGTGTGTAGTAGGTAACAATATCAGACCTGACACACTGATCCTGAGTCCTACTCCTGGTTTACACTCACAGTTGTGTGTAGTAGGTAACAATATCAGACTTGACACACTGATCCTGAGTCCTAATCCTGGTTTACACTCACAGTTGTGTGTGTAGTAGGTAACAATATCAGACTTGACACACTGATCCTGAGTCCTACTCCTGGTTTACACTCACAGCTGTGTGTAGTAGGTAACAATATCAGACCTGACACACTGATCCTGAGTCCTACTCCTGGTTTACACTCACAGATGTGTGTAGTAGGTAACAATATCAGACTTGACACACTGATCCTGAGTCCTAATCCTGGTTTACACTCACAGTTGTGTGTAGTAGGTAACAATATCAGACCTGACACACTGATCCTGAGTCCTACTCCTGGTTTACACTCACAGCTGTGTGTAGTAGGTAACAATATCAGACCTGACACACTGATCCTGAGTCCTACTCCTGGTTTACACTCACAGCTGTGTGTAGTAGGTAACAATATCAGACCTGACACACTGATCCTGAGTCCTACTCCTGGTTTACACTCACAGCTGTGTGTAGTAGGTAACAATATCAGACTTGACACACTGATCCTGAGTCCTACTCCTGGTTTACACTCACAGCTGTGTGTAGTAGGTAACAATATCAGACCTGACACACTGATCCTGAGTCCTAATCCTGGTTTACACTCACAGCTGTGTGTAGTAGGTAACAATATCAGACCTGACACACTGATCCTGAGTCCTAATCCTGGTTTACACTCACAGTTGTGTGTAGTAGGTAACAATATCAGACCTGACACACTGATCCTGAGTCCTAATCCTGGTTTACACTCACAGTTGTGTGTAGTAGGTAACAATATCAGACTTGACACACTGATCCTGAGTCCTACTCCTGGTTTACACTCACAGTTGTGTGTAGTAGGTAACAATATCAGACCTGACACACTGATCCTGAGTCCTAATCCTGGTTTACACTCACAGTTGTGTGTAGTAGGTAACAATATCAGACTTGACACACTGATCCTGAGTCCTACTCCTGGTTTACACTCACAGTTGTGTGTAGTAGGTAACAATATCAGACCTGACACACTGATCCTGAGTCCTACTCCTGGTTTACACTCACAGCTGTGTGTAGTAGGTAACAATATCAGACTTGACACACTGATCCTGAGTCCTAATCCTGGTTTACACTCACAGCTGTGTGTAGTAGGTAACAATATCAGACCTGACACACTGATCCTGAGTCCTACTCCTGGTTTACACTCACAGCTGTGTGTAGTAGGTAACAATATCAGACCTGACACACTGATCCTGAGTCCTAATCCTGGTTTACACTCACAGCTGTGTGTAGTAGGTAACAATATCAGACTTGACACACTGATCCTGAGTCCTAATCCTGGTTTACACTCACAGTTGTGTGTAGTAGGTAACAATATCAGACCTGACACACTGATCCTGAGTCCTAATCCTGGTTTACACTCACAGCTGTGTGTAGTAGGTAACAATATCAGACCTGACACACTGATCCTGAGTCCTACTCCTGGTTTACACTCACAGCTGTGTGTAGTAGGTAACAATATCAGACCTGACACACTGATCCTGAGTCCTAATCCTGGTTTACACTCACAGCTGTGTGTAGTAGGTAACAATATCAGACTTGACACACTGATCCTGAGTCCTAATCCTGGTTTACACTCACAGCTGTGTGTAGTAGGTAACAATATCAGACCTGACACACTGATCCTGAAGTCCTACTCCTGGTTTACACTCACAGCTGTGTGTAGTAGGTAACAATATCAGACCTGACACACTGATCCTGAGTCCTAATCCTGGTTTACACTCACAGTTGTGTGTAGTAGGTAACAATATCAGACTTGACACACTGATCCTGAGTCCTACTCCTGGTTTACACTCACAGTTGTGTGTAGTAGGTAACAATATCAGACTTGACACACTGATCCTGAGTCCTACTCCTGGTTTACACTCACAGTTGTGTGTGTAGTAGGTAACAATATCAGACTTGACACACTGATCCTGAGTCCTAATCCTGGTTTACACTCACAGTTGTGTGTAGTAGGTAACAATATCAGACTTGACACACTGATCCTGAGTCCTACTCCTGGTTTACACTCACAGCTGTGTGTAGTAGGTAACAATATCAGACCTGACACACTGATCCTGAGTCCTACTCCTGGTTTACACTCACAGCTGTGTGTAGTAGGTAACAATATCAGACTTGACACACTGATCCTGAGTCCTAATCCTGGTTTACACTCACAGTTGTGTGTAGTAGGTAACAATATCAGACCTGACACACTGATCCTGAGTCCTACTCCTGGTTTACACTCACAGCTGTGTGTAGTAGGTAACAATATCAGACTTGACACACTGATCCTGAGTCCTACTCCTGGTTTACACTCACAGCTGTGTGTAGTAGGTAACAATATCAGACTTGACACACTGATCCTGAGTCCTACTCCTGGTTTACACTCACAGTTGTGTGTAGTAGGTAACAATATCAGACCTGACACACTGATCCTGAGTCCTACTCCTGGTTTACACTCACAGTTGTGTGTAGTAGGTAACAATATCAGACCTGACACACTGATCCTGAGTCCTAATCCTGGTTTACACTCACAGTTGTGTGTAGTAGGTAACAATATCAGACTTGACACACTGATCCTGAGTCCTACTCCTGGTTTACACTCACAGTTGTGTGTAGTAGGTAACAATATCAGACCTGACACACTGATCCTGAGTCCTAATCCTGGTTTACACTCACAGTTGTGTGTAGTAGGTAACAATATCAGACTTGACACACTGATCCTGAGTCCTACTCCTGGTTTACACTCACAGCTGTGTGTAGTAGGTAACAATATCAGACCTGACACACTGATCCTGAGTCCTACTCCTGGTTTACACTCTCACAGTTGTGTAGTAGTAGGTAACAATATCAGACCTGACACACTGATCCTGAGTCCTAATCCTGGTTTACACTCACACAGCTGTGTGTAGTAGGTAACAATATCAGACTTGACACACTGATCCTGAGTCCTACTCCTGGTTTACACTCACAGCTGTGTGTAGTAGGTAACAATATCAGACCTGACACACTGATCCTGAGTCCTAATCCTGGTTTTACACTCACAGCTGTGTGTAGTAGGTAACAATATCAGACTTGACACACTGATCCTGAGTCCTACTCCTGGTTTACACTCACAGTTGTGTGTAGTAGGTAACAATATCAGACCTGACACACTGATCCTGAGTCCTAATCCTGGTTTACACTCACAGTTGTGTGTAGTAGGTAACAATATCAGACTTGACACACTGATCCTGAGTCCTACTCCTGGTTTACACTCACAGCTGTGTGTAGTAGGTAACAATATCAGACCTGACACACTGATCCTGAGTCCTAATCCTGGTTTACACTCACACAGTTGTGTGTAGTAGGTAACAATATCAGACCTGACACACTGATCCTGAAGTCCTACTCCTGGTTTACACTCACAGCTGTGTGTAGTAGGTAACAATATCAGACCTGACACACTGATCCTGAGTCCTAATCCTGGTTTACACTCACAGCTGTGTGTAGTAGGTAACAATATCAGACCTGACACACTGATCCTGAGTCCTACTCCTGGTTTACACTCACAGTTGTGTGTAGTAGGTAACAATATCAGACCTGACACACTGATCCTGAGTCCTACTCCTGGTTTACACTCACAGCTGTGTGTAGTAGGTAACAATATCAGACTTGACACACTGATCCTGAGTCCTACTCCTGGTTTACACTCACAGCTGTGTGTAGTAGGTAACAATATCAGACCTGACACACTGATCCTGAGTCCTACTCCTGGTTTACACTCACAGCTGTGTGTAGTAGGGTAACAATATCAGACTTGACACACTGATCCTGAGTCCTACTCCTGGTTTACACTCACAGTTGTGTGTAGTAGGTAACAATATCAGACCTGACACACTGATCCTGAGTCCTACTCCTGGTTTACACTCACAGTTGTGTGTAGTAGGTAACAATATCAGACCTGACACACTGATCCTGAGTCCTAATCCTGGTTTACACTCACAGTTGTGTGTAGTAGGTAACAATATCAGACCTGACACACTGATCCTGAGTCCTACTCCTGGTTTACACTCACAGTTGTGTGTAGTAGGTAACAATATCAGACCTGACACACTGATCCTGAGTCCTAATCCTGGTTTACACTCACAGCTGTGTGTAGTAGGTAACAATATCAGACTTGACACACTGATCCTGAGTCCTACTCCTGGTTTACACTCACAGTTGTGTGTAGTAGGTAACAATATCAGACCTGACACACTGATCCTGAGTCCTAATCCTGGTTTACACTCACAGTTGTGTGTAGTAGGTAACAATATCAGACTTGACACACTGATCCTGAGTCCTACTCCTGGTTTACACTCACAGCTGTGTGTAGTAGGTAACAATATCAGACTTGACACACTGATCCTGAGTCCTAATCCTGGTTTACACTCACAGTTGTGTGTAGTAGGTAACAATATCAGACTTGACACACTGATCCTGAGTCCTAATCCTGGTTTACACTCACAGCTGTGTGTAGTAGGTAACAATATCAGACTTGACACACTGATCCTGAGTCCTACTCCTGGTTTACACTCACAGCTGTGTGTAGTAGGTAACAATATCAGACCTGACACACTGATCCTGAGTCCTACTCCTGGTTTACACTCACAGTTGTGTGTAGTAGGTAACAATATCAGACTTGACACACTGATCCTGAGTCCTACTCCTGGTTTACACTCACAGTTGTGTGTAGTAGGTAACAATATCAGACCTGACACACTGATCCTGAGTCCTACTCCTGGTTTACACTCACAGTTGTGTGTAGTAGGTAACAATATCAGACTTGACACACTGATCCTGAGTCCTAATCCTGGTTTACACTCACAGTTGTGTGTAGTAGGTAACAATATCAGACTTGACACACTGATCCTGAGTCCTACTCCTGGTTTACACTCACAGCTGTGTGTGTAGTAGGTAACAATATCAGACTTGACACACTGATCCTGAGTCCTAATCCTGGTTTACACTCACAGTTGTGTGTAGTAGGTAACAATATCAGACTTGACACACTGATCCTGAGTCCTACTCCTGGTTTACACTCACAGTTGTGTGTAGTAGGTAACAATATCAGACCTGACACACTGATCCTGAGTCCTAATCCTGGTTTACACTCACAGCTGTGTGTAGTAGGTAACAATATCAGACTTGACACACTGATCCTGAGTCCTAATCCTGGTTTACACTCACAGTTGTGTGTAGTAGGTAACAATATCAGACTTGACACACTGATCCTGAGTCCTACTCCTGGTTTACACTCTCACAGCTGTGTGTAGTAGGTAACAATATCAGACTTGACACACTGATCCTGAGTCCTAATCCTGGTTTACACTCACAGTTGTGTGTAGTAGGTAACAATATCAGACCTGACACACTGATCCTGAGTCCTACTCCTGGTTTACACTCACAGCTGTGTGTAGTAGGTAACAATATCAGACTTGACACACTGATCCTGAGTCCTAATCCTGGTTTACACTCACAGCTGTGTGTAGTAGGTAACAATATCAGACCTGAATGATGTGCCGTGCAGGTCATCTTCCCGAAAAGAAGACACAAACATCTTTCGGGGACTTAAAAGATTTAACTAGGTCAAAAGGATCTATAATATAAGACGTAACTAGGTCAACACCATCTATAACACAAGACGTAACTAGGTCATCAGCATCTAAAACAATAAGACGTAACTAGGTCAAAAGGATCTATAATATATAACATAACTAGGTCAACTGCATCTATAATATAAGACGTAACTAGGTTATCAGCATCTATAATATAAGACGTAACTAGGTCAAACGGATCTGTAATATGTAACATAACTAGGTCAACTTCATCTACAATACAAGACGTAACTAGGTCAAAAGGATCTATAATATATAACATAACTAGGTCAACTGCATCTATAATATAAGACGTAACAAGGTCATCAGCATCTATAATATAAGACGTAACTAGGTCAAACGGATCTGTAATATATGACATAACTAGGTCACCTGCATCTATAATACAAGACGTAAGTAGGTCAAACGGATCTGTAATACATAATATAACTAGGTCAACTGCATCTATAATACAAGACGTAACTAGGTCACCAGCATGTATAATATAAGACGTAACTAGGTCACCAGCATCTACAATGTAAGACGTACATAGTTCGACATGATCTGCCATGTGAGACTAGGTCAGTATCATTATAAATATATAACGTTGCTAAGTCAACAGCTGATTCAAGTAACATGGAGGGAGTGGGGTACCCAGTGGTTAAAGCGTTTGCCTGTCACACACAAAGCTCGGGTTCGATTCCTTTCATGGGTAAAGTATCTACTCACTGACTCTACCCAGCACTGGACTACAAACAGACAGTGTAAAACATATGTCAGACCAGATTGTACTGGACTACAGAACTACTTCCTCGTCCAGGTAGGGTCGTCTGGACAAATCCATCAATACAATATGCATACACTTGTACACCAACAGACCCCGGGTTTATGTGTGTCAAATATGTCATTTCAAAGAGGACATGTTTGACCTGGGCCAATGTACCTATCCCCTCCACCCCAGGTTGTACCCGCTACTACGGTGTGTGTTTTAGCTGATCATATCACGGTATGTTTATTCCGTAATGTATCTACCCCGTAAATACACAGTTCGTGATTTGATGAAGCACACTTGCAGCCGGCCCTTAGTTCGTACCATGAACCAGTGTGACGTGGTGACAGTTGATACCTCCCCTTCCATCTCCCTCCAACACACACTGGTGGATATACACACCATATTGCCCTAGTCCCGTCCTTCAGGTCCGCCAGGTGAACTCATATGACAAAAGGGATATATTTTGGTTTGAATGATTGTACAGACATAGTGGGTTTAATGTTGTTCTTGTGTCAACAATACGAGTGTACCCTACATGCAGTAACAATGTGATGTTATCATAACAATACATACTCCCAGCTTCAACAAACACAAGTACATTAGCATGACTGTCTCCAAACAAATAAAAAGTGACTAGTCACAGTGAATGTCCAAACATGAAACGGTTGTCGGGTTCTGACTCGGAAGTATATAGGAATAATGCTGATCTTGTTCAGACAGGAGGAAGTATAGGAATAATGCAGATCTTGTTCAGACCGGAGGAAGTATAGGAATAATGCAGATCTTGTTCAGACAGGAGGAAGTATATCTTGTAGACAGGAGGAATGCAGATCTTGTTCAGACAGGAGGAAGTATAGGAATAATGCAGATCTTGTTCAGACAGGAGGAAGTATAGGAATAATGCAGGTCTTGTTCAGACAGGAGGAAGTATAGGAATAATGCAGATCTTGTTCAGACAGGAGGAAGTATAGGAATAATGCAGATCTTGTTCAGACAGGAGGAAGTATAGGAATAATGCAGATCTTGTTCAGACAGGAGGAAGTATAGGAATAATGCAGATCTTGTTCAGACAGGAGGAAGTATAGGAATAATGCAGATCTTGTTCAGACCGCAGGAAGTATAGGAATAATGCAGGTCTTGTTCAGGCTGCAGTGAGTTTAGGAATAATGCAGATGTTGTTCAGTCTGCAGGAAATATAAGAATACTGAGGTCTTGTTCAGGCTGCATGGAGTATGGGAATAATGCAGATCTTGTTCAGGCCGCAGGAAGTATAGGAATAATGCAGATCTTGTTCAGACCGCAGGAAGCCGCTACCGCTCCTTCAGACATTATCGTCGTTACACCTTTACTATCAGTTAAACATGTTCCCTTCCGTCTTGTCAGCATATATAGAAAACATGATGTCTACTTACCTTCTGTATTCGTCTCCTTTCTCGAAGTCGTGATTATGTCGCCCCATTCTGAAAACACAAAAACAGGTGATTTTCAAGATGAGATTTGTATATTCCTTGCACCTTCTCACACATCCGGCATGTAACGACTGCCAGGGACCCTACCATGTAGGTCACTCCGTGATGAAGCAAGAATACCCGTATACCCGTAGGAGGTACCTGGATGCTGCTGCTACTACTGCTACTGCTGCTACTACTGCTGCTGCTACTACTGCTACTGCTGCTACTGCTGCTACTACTGCTGCTGCTACTGCTGCTACTACTGCTACTACTGCTGCTACTGCTGCTGCTGCTGCTACTGCTACTACTGCTGCTACTGCTGCTACTGCTACTACTGCTACTGCTGCTGCTGCTGCTGCTGCTGCTGCTGCTGCTGCTGCTGCTGCTACTGCTGCTGCTGCTGCTGCTGCTGCTGCTGCTGCTGCTGCTGCTGCTGCTGCTGCTGCTGCTGCTGCTGCTACTGCTGCTGCTACTGCTGCTGCTACTACTGCTGCTGCTGCTGCTGCTGCTGCTGCTGCTGCTGCTGCTGCTGCTGCTGCTGCTGCTGCTGCTGCTGCTACTGCTGCTACTGCTGCTGCTGCTGCTGCTGCTGCTGCTGCTGCTGCTGCTGCTGCTGCTGCTGCTGCTGCTGCTGCTGCTGCTGCTGCTGCTGCTGCTGCTACTGCTGCTGCTGCTGCTGCTGCTGCTGCTACTACTGCTACTACTGCTGCTGCTGCTGCTGCTGCTGCTGCTACTGCTGCTGCTACTACTGCTGCTGCTGCTGCTACTGCTGCTACTACTGCTACTGCTACTGCTGCTACTACTGCTACTGCTGCTACTGCTGCTACTACTGCTGCTGCTACTGCTGCTACTGCTGCTACTACTGCTACTGCTGCTACTGCTACTGCTGCTGCTGCTGCTACTACTGCTACTACTACGAGCGTGGGACCCCAAGCCTGAAATCTTCCTCTTTCTGCCTGCACTGTCGAGGTGACAACAAGCCAGCTTGTTTTTTAGGTAAGAACCTCAGTTTGCTTCGATATTGCAACTGGGTCTTCTGTATTAAATTCCTATGTATAGTTATGTTGTTAGCAGGATAAGTAATTATCTGCGGCTTTTAAATTAATGTATTATTTAATTTGATAAATCACAATTAAAACAAGTGTTGGGTCACTGTCATCAATTATTCTTGCTGTGCCAAACTGGCGAAAGGTCACTCATCTGTGACTGTCCAAACGTGCACTCGATGGCAAGAATAAATGACATGTACTCATTGTAATATATTTTCATCTAAAAATTCATTTTAGTAAAGTACTTTGTGTGTTTAGCATTAATTTGCTTATTTGACCTGCCAGTCAAAATTGTCTCTAGCTCATTGCTAAATTCAAAATTCCATTTATTTACAACTTGTTGCTGCTAACAACAGAACTCTTTTTGCCATTTTAATCTAAATTAAAAAGTCTCTGTATCACTGTCCCGGTTTCCAAACCATGTGCTCAGTTGGAGTATCACGGTGTCAGCTGGAACCAATTAGTGGCGGTCATGCTCACTGACCAGTGCTGACCTCTCCACTGAGCAGCACACAGCCTGGGCTGTCTTCGGCTCTCCTCGGCATTCTCCGGCTCCCGTCCGGCTCCATTACAAAATGGCTGCACCGGATGTAAACAAAACTAGGGTCCGTCGTCTGCTTCATGGTTATCTTAACATAGCATTGACTACCGGTACCATGCCACTATATCAATCGTATTTTAGTATGTTCCCCCCACTTGATGTGAAAGTGAAGTCACAGTTTATTCAATAATAATATAATGTATTATATTATATGGCCAATAATATACCTACATATCGTAGTAATATAATTTATGTAATATCCGTTTATTACATACTGTCAATTTACTTACTACAATTAGGTGTTTATCCTGGGTAGCCCCAAGTGGTGTACCTACTGGGTGTATCGACATTCTGTTGGAGCTAGCCTCATATTGACTAGTATGATCATCCAACAGGCAGTCATACCCCATTTCCCTTAGCCACATGTGTCGTACAGGCCAGGTGTCCTGTCGTGGCTATTGTGTATATCAATCAACCGGTTTTCTGTATCATATATTCCAAATGTGTTGGGTATAGATATTGCCCCACTTTGTGTATATATATGTATTTTTATACTTCCCATTGGCCCTTAAAGTTAATGTGACTTTCACCTCACCTCAGGTGGGGCCCTATGTAAATCCTCTGATAGGAGGGGTGTGACGATTCTTTTGGGTTATGTAATTAAAGGTATTTTTTGTAAATACTCTTTGGGATTGTGTGCTCATATATGCACATATACTTTTGTACCAATATTGTATTTATTTGTCCTTTAATAATATTGTTGCCCCTATTAAGTATTGTCGTCACATCCTACATATCAGTCGGATTATTATGTATTTTCATTATTGTATCTGTACAATGGCTCTTTCTGCCTGCACTGTCGAGGTGACAACAAGCCAGCTTGTTTTTTAGGTTTCACCTGGACTGTGCAGTCGGAACTTGCAACTCTGTTACCAAGACTTTTATTTCAATATATATTATTACTGTCTTTTGTGTTGTGTCATCTTTGACTGGAGCACTTCGCGCAATAGACACACTTGCCCATCCCTTTTCCCGTGAGACGTAATTGTTACTTAATAACAGCAATTACCCAAGTCTTACATTGGCGCCCAACGTGGGGCAAAGTGTCGCAAGCGTTCATAGTACTCCTCAACGGTCAAAGATATACACTCATTGGCACATAAGGCATAATTTTGTATCTATACTCCTACCCTTAGTTGCCTTAGTCAACTAAGAATTCTCAGTACCTCAACCTCATCTCCGATTTTTGTCAACATGTCCTCGCTCACGAACTCTGAGCTCTTGGACACTATGTTGTCAATGAAAATTGACCCCAAGCGATCAATTGGAATAATTGGGCTCCCGGAGGAAACAAAAACGGAGTCGGTTGAGGAGGAGTTGTCCCCTTGCTATGGGAAGGTGCGGGTTCTCCAGGTGCTTGATTCTATTCATCAGCTGCACCTCGTGGAGTTCACGAGCCCTCAAGTCCCTCTGAAGCTTGGGGACACTGTACTCATCAGAGAGGAGGAGTATCAAGTTATGAAAGTGAACTTGGTTCGGGAAGGATCCTCTCTAGAAGACGTCGTGGCCAGGGCAGTAGATCAGGCCCTGGACAGGAAGACGGCCCTGATGATGGAGGCGATGAAGTCTCAGATGCTGGAACAGTTCCAGCTGCTACTACGACAGCTTCCATCAGCCACGACCAGCGCCGGATCCATAAAACCAAATCCACCAACTCCCACACCTGTTCTGGCGGCTAACGAGGTTGCTGCTGCCCACTCAGAATCCCCAGCCGCTAGCGACTCTAATGTTGCAAGCTCGAGTGCTGGGGTTGTGGGTAGCGGTAGCACTGTACGCCCAGACCCACAACAGGTGCTGGTGAATTGGGATCGTCCCTCATCCAGCTACTTCAGACTGAAGACCTTCTCTGGTGCAAGACCCATCAAAGCTGGAGAGGTAGCCTTTGAAGAATGGGCCAAACAAGCGAAGATCGTAATGGAAGATCAGGCCCTCTCAGAGACCGGGAAGCGACAGAGACTCCTCGGCAGCCTCCAGTCTCCAGCCTTCGATATGGCTTTAGGAATCGGAGAGGACAAGACAGCAGTGGACCTCGTCACCTACTTAGGGAAGCTGTATCTAGGATACAATGACGGAATGAGTACACTGAAGGAGTTCTTTGCCATGACACCCAGGCCTGCAGAAAGACCATCAGAGTACTTAATCCGCCTGGAGCTTGAGCTACAGAAGGTTTTGGCCCATGGGGGTGTTAGACGGGAAGATGCCAACAGCACGCGCCTTCATCAGTTCCGGTCTACCAACAGGAACCAAAGTGTTTATGGGCTCCTTAATCTAAAGTTCCCAAAAGGATCATCCCCAGACCTCCCTGATCTCATTGATGCTGTCAAAGAAGTCGAGATGGACGATGCCATGTTCACGGCGAGTAAGGTTCGGAGTCATGTCCAGAATGCATCACCTGCTCTGGGCTCCTCAGAATATGAAAGCCTCAAAGTTGAACTTAAGGCATTGCAATCCTTGATGTCTAAGTCCCACATAACATCTGGCACGAAGACTTTAGATGCTCCAACCTCAAATCCCAAGGACACACGTTCCAAGGGCGGTAGGAGAAATAGAGTCTGGCGCTTTTGTCACAATTGTGGAGACTATAATCATATGAGACAGGGATGCCAAAGTCCAGCGAATCCAGCTTTGGTCTGGGAACGAATGAAGGCAAGAGACGAAGAGAGACACAATCGCTCATCTAAAAAGAGTGATTTAAACTCCACCGGGCCTCTGAAACAGTAAAGGGACCAGAGGCCCAGACGATACCAACTCGTCCCAAGACAAACAATGACCACACGATATCTATTGGACCTGTATGTCTGCGCCAGAATTGTAAGATCGAGTTGCCACCTGAGAGGACCATGGAGCTCAGGGGCAAGAATATTTCCCCATACCTGGAGGAAGTTGAGCTTCGAAAACCTGAGCCCCATCAAGTACCTCCCAAACTTAACATCATTTCAACAGGAGTGGACAATTCTGGCTGCATCATTGTCAAAATACAAAATTGTGGAAACAAAACTTTGACTATTGGATCAGACCAAGTGCTGGCTAGGTGTTACACCCAGGTCAAATCAGATCTTCAAAGTGAAACACCTGATGACCTCATAGGCTCACTCGTTGGCCCCGCTTGTGAATCAAGACTTAGGGTCGAACGAAAACCTTGTACTGGACTTCTGGACAGTGGTTCTCAAGTGACTACCATTTGCCGGTCTTTCTACAAGAAACATCTGTCCCATTTGCCAGTCGAAAGTTTAAAGAACATCCCATTGAAAGTAGATGGTGCCGGAGGTCAACCTGTTCCATATGATGGCTTTGTCCGGCTTACTATGTCACTGCCAAAGGAAGTTGCTGGTACAAATGAGGAGGTACATACCATCGCCTTGGTGTGCCCAGATACCTCCTTCTCCTCGGAAATCCCTGTTGTAGTCGGCACCAACACGTTCCGGAGGATAGCAGAAAAATGCCAGAAGCGAAGAAATCAGCCCTATTTATGCACCCTGCCAATAAAGAGTGAAGTGGCCCACATCTTCAGCAGCATTGTTTCTGACCCTTCCGGACGCCTAGGAACAGTACGACTAACCGGGAGGAAAAGGATAATTGTACCAGCAGGACAAACTATGGAGATCCGCGGCACGGCAAGAAAGGTCAATATTCCATCTACTGCACAAACAGTTCTGATCCAGGAAAGCATTAACCATCAGCAGTTGTATGGAGACAGTCTTCAAGTCATGAATGCTGTTGTGTCTGTCACAGGAAGTGTCCCAAGAATAAGAGTATTAGTCCACAATGTATCATCTCGTGACATAACCATCTCTCCTCGGAAAGCACTGGCTGACTTGTACCTGCCCCAGGACGTCACCCCCCCTTGACTGGGTGTATAACCGTCTGAAGAAGGAAGAAGCAGCCAAGCCACCTGTTCACTGCCATGCTGCCCAGATGTCCACAGGGGAGTTATCACCAGAACTGAACTTTGACTTTGGTGACTCACCCTTGCCAAAAGAAGAGAGGCAAAGGATCATCGGGAAGCTTCATGCTATGAGAGATGTGTTTTCTACTCATGATTATGACATTGGGAAGACAGAGCAGGCCACTCATGCCATTAAACTGACAGACAACTCGTCGTTCAGGGAGAGAGCACGCCCAATACGACCTCAGGACTTTGAAGATTGCCGCCGCCACATACAACAGTCAATAGATGCTGATATCATTCAGCCTTCATCAAGTCCCTTTGCTAGTCCAATAGTCCTCATTCGCAAGAAGTCAGGAAAGCTAAGACTATGTGTGGACTACCGGAAGTTAAATTCTAGGACAATTCGGGATTCATATCCTATTCCAAAGGTTGAAGATCTCTTCGCAGCACTACATGGATCTGCATGGTTCACACAGCTTGACGTTAAATCGGCCTTCTATGCTGTCCCAATGGATGAGGAATCAGCAAAGTACACTGCCTTTGTGTGCCCATTTGGACTGTTTGAATACAAGAGAATGAGCATGGGTCTTGTGAACAGCCCTCTAACGTTTCAACGCCTGATGGACCGGTGTGTAGGGGACATGAATCTTAAGGAGCTGGTCGTCTACATGGATGACCTCATTGTCTTCGCTGAAGATATCCCCACACATGAAGATCGCCTGTTCCAGACTCTTGCTCGACTTCGCAAGTTTGGCCTCAAGCTGGACCCTGAGAAGTGCAAGTTTTTCCAAACAACTGTGACCCACCTTGGTCATGTGTGTTCCAAAGAAGGAATATCACCAGACCCTAACAAAATTAACGTTGTAAAGGAATGGTCTGTCCCAACCAACATCGGTGAACTAAAAAGCTTCCTTGGGTTGCAGGGTACTACCGTCGCTTTGTGGAAGGATTTAGTCGTCTCTGCAAACCATTAAATGCACTGACAGCCGGCTACATTCCAAGGAAGACCATGCTAAAACTCGGAAGAACTCCTGGGAAGAACAACCTCACCCTGAAGACGCCTTTTGGGGATAAGTGGACAGAGGAATGCCAAACAGCTTTTGAGAAGATCAAGGAAAAACTAACCACTCCTCCTGTGTTAGGCTATGCTGACCTGTCTGCCCCTTTTGAACTTCACACTGACGCCAGTGGCACTGGACTCGGAGCTGTCCTTTACCAACAACAATACGGTAGCCTGAAAGTCATCGCCTATGCAAGCCGAGGTCTTTCTAAAAAGTGAGAACAAATTATCCAGCACACAAGCGCGAATTTCTAGCATTGAAGTGGGCTGTTACTGACAAGTTCCATGACTACCTGTATGGTTCGAGAATTCACAGTCGTAACAGACAACAATCCCTTACATATGTCCTGAAGTCAGCGAAAGTTGATGCCATGGGATACCGATGGTTAGCAGCCCTAGCAGCCTACAACTTTAACATCAAGTATCGACCAGGAGTGCAGATGACTGATGCAGATGCTTTTAAGCCGCTTGCCACAGGAAGCTCAAGAAGAAGATCTAGAGTTTAAACAGGACACTGAAAGAATAGACTGGTTGATTGCTCGGAGCACACCCCTCGATGCTCCAGAATCTGGAGTGGTGGAGTGTTCCTCATGCTCAATCCGGGCTATTCTTCAATGTCATGGCATTCACAGCAGTTCAGAGGGTAGGCAGCAAGGAAATCTCAAAGAAATAAGCAGGCAAGAAAAGAAGTGCATGGCATACTCTCAAAACGCTGTCATGTCCAGCACAGAAGAACCTGTTCTGGTGGAAGCTCTTTCCTGTTCCAAGAAAGCAGTTCCTGACAGTTTGGTAATGCCCCCTACAGTCCATGATCGAGGGACATCGTCAGTGGATTGGAAAACAGCGCAAGGCCTGGATTCGGAAATCTGTCAAATCATGTCAGTAATCAAATCAAAGGAGGGATCATGCAAAGCAGAGAAATCCAAAATCCATCCCGACATGCATGTCTACCTGCGAGAACTGGAGAAGCTTGTAATTAAAGATGACATCCTCTACAGAATGGTCACTGATGCCAAGGGTATAGAACGACAACAGCTGGTCATCCCCAAACAATATCGCAAGGAGGCAATTCATGGAGTTCATGATCAAGTTGGACATCCCTGCAGCAACAGCACTTTATCCCTTGCCCGCCAGAGATTCTTCTGGCCATTCATAGGCTACCTCCATCCAAACTTACTGTTCAAACTGTGAAAGATGCATCAGGAGGAAAGCCAGGAAAGAAACTGCA